ACCGGCTGAGCCCCTCGGTAGAAGATACTAGCACCTCACCAAGTGTCAGTGTCTCCTCACTACCTCATCCCCTTCCCCTCAGCCCTTAAGTTTCAGCCCCTTACAGGTCGCCTAGGCCGTCTCATCCTTTCAGGAACCCCTGACACGACATTTTGCCGGAGGCTGGTCCCCGGCAGAAATCTTTTGCTCTCATTTAAATAAAAAGCTATTCACTTTCTTGTCCAGAAGATGGAGCAGGTTTTCCATATACTTGTTCCCTATGGCATTAGAAGAAAATCTTGTCAGAAAGTTGCTTGATAAGTCCAGAAGAGCCCCCACCCAAAACTGGGATGCGCAGCAAGAAACTAGAAAGAATTTTTAATAAGCAGTGGTGTTAGGTGTCCTGTCTCCATAGAAATCACTCTTCTCTAGGAAAAGACTAGTAGATTTAGGATAGGTTCCCCGACTAAAATTAGTGCCAGCCTGTGGACTAGGGTGAGGCTTTGGGGTTTAGGGACAGCAGCCAGGCAGGAAGGAGGCTCCAGTCCCAGGGCAGGCACAGATGCATGTTGCAGACCCCTCCTGTGAATTTCACTTCTTCCTTTGTTTCTAGTCCTGGATCAGTGGAAGATTTATCTCCTGCTTTCGGGGGAAAGGAGGGTCAGTGTTCTTGATCCAGTTTTTTCTCAAGTTCCTTTAATGAAAAGAATGGGTAAACCAAAGTGGCCTATTTCTAGGAGGCTTATTCTCTTTTTCATTAGGGATTTAAGGCTGGTTGACGGAAAGATCTCAAACAGACACAATATCGCAGGTTAGGAAAATCTTGGAGGGGCCTCCCTGGTGGCGTAAGGAGTTAGGCATCAGCACTGTGAGGTAGTCCGCAGCCACTGCAGCACAAGTTCCATCCCTGGCCAGGGAGCTGACCCACATGGCGCAGCAGACCTCTCCTGACTCGCCCGCTGCTCCCCTCAGCAGTGTATTTCAGTCCATCCTCCAGTTTCCCACTCCAAAACCAGGAGAGAGGAAGCCTCTAATGTGCAAGAACCAGGGAGGACCCCGGGGCCTCAAGAGCCCAGGAAACCATGAAGAGAGGCTGACGCTGAGAGCACAGGCCTCCAAGGCCATTCCCATACTAGAATTGGCCTTTGCATGATGCTAGTGAGAACCAGACTCCCCTCTGGTGGACGTGGTGCAGCAGGCTTGCAGAGTGAAGTGGGGGCTGGTTTTCAGCTCCTGGGGCTGTGAAGTGTACTATGGAGAGGGGTGGGTTCAGAAGAGAGGGGGAGCCGAGGACCCAGCGTTGAAAGGATGGACTGAGCCAGGAGAGCACAGATCTCTGTGGCTGCACCAGGTCTCGAGCTGCCAGGGTGTGGTCAGGACAGGCCGGGAGCTCAGCAGGTGGAGAGCAGCCAGGCTGGTTGGAGCAGAGCATCATGGGCTGGGCTCTCCACAGGGAGGGTGAGAATGGGGGAATCCAGAAGTTTCTCCTTCAGGTTGGAGACACCTAAGGAGTCTTTCCTGCTGATGGGAAGCCCATGTAAAGACGTGCCCAGTGACCTAGACTTCCAGTCTAGGCCTATCTAGGGGGGAGTGTGAGTTTCCTCCCAGATGGAGTAACCCCCACTGTGGAGTCAAAGAGGTGACAGTCACTTGGTCACCACAAGGACTGATGGGGTCAAGTGGGCCCATCCTGGCAGTTTGCAGGTGCTGGCTGCTCAGAGCAGGGTCCCCGTGAGGCCTGGGGAACCAACTGAGGCTCCCCCTCCTTTCCCTCGCCCCCCCCCATCCTTTTCCCTTCCCGCCCCTTCCCTCCCCTTAGGTGCAGGCTTATCTGCGGGGCCTGGCTCTGGCTCATCTCAGGGTGCAGTCTTTGAAATCTATGGGACCCCTTCATTTCTCTCCCTGCATCAGCTCCTGCCCGTCCTGCCCATTTCCTATGGTTCTACTTCGGGAATCCCACCTCTTTCCTGGCTGGAGTGGGGCAGTCACAGAAGCCCCCATGACAGGGAGCCAGAGAGCTGTGAGGACTAAGGCAGGCTCTGACCTCCCTTCTCAGGCGGTTCCTGCAGCTTCCCCCATCTGCCTGGCCTTGTGCCTTTGTCTCGCCTGCTGCTCCCCTCAGCAGTGTATTTCAGTGGATCCACCTGTTCTGCTCCCCACTCTGTCTCTAGTGAATCCTCTCATCCCCTCGCACCTTAGCCTACACCCAAGTTCTTCTATGCAAAATAAACAAATCTTTAAAAAATTGACAATTCCAGAAGCCACTACTAAAAGAGGGGGTCATGACTTCCATGAGCAGGGGGGGATTCCCTGGGCGGGGTTTCCCTGTGGCCTGGGCTTCGGCAGCTGTCTCTCCACTGTCTGTCACTTAGTCACCATCATGCCCTTGTGGAGTCCCCCCACCCCAGTACCTGTCAGCCAAGCCCCATCATCTGTACAGTAGGCCATAGGTGCTTGCTTCCCATCACAGTGACCAGAATACAGTAGGGGTGCAGACCACGTGGACATTTGAGGACTGATAAATGGGAATTACTCTTATTGCCTAATTTCACTTTCCATCTCTGGTCCTAAGTAAGGACCCCAGAATCTATTTATGAGCCAACTGAGGCTCAGAGAGGTTAAGTGAATGCCTCAAAGGCCTGTTAGGAAGCGGCGGGTCCAGGATTTAAAGATATATATATATTTTTAATTTTTTTTATAGAGGCATGTTTTATTTATTTGTTTGTTTGTTTTTTGGGTTTTTGTTTGTTTGTTTTTTTTTTTTTATACAAGCACTGGGTACAGTCAGAAGCGCGGGAGGGTGAGAGAATTCACCAGAGCCAGAGCGGGGAGCAGAACAGGCAGAAGGACCGAAGTACACTGCTGAGGGGAGCAGCGAGCGGCAGGAGAGGTCTGCGAGCCATGTGGGACCCTCCTCCGGTGGCCGGGGAGCAGCCGGGGATCGAACCGGCGCCTCAGAGGCCGCGGGCAGCTTCGCAACCCAGCGCTCAACCGCTGCGCCACCAGGGAGACCCTAAAGATATATGTTTTATTCCAAAGAAGATCCCTATAAAAGACAGAAGACTAGAATTAAATGTCATCTGTGCTGTATAGATGGACAGATGCAGCTGCTAGGCCATGCTGGGGAGCTTCTGTAAAAGAGGTGAGACTTAAAGTAGCTCTCAACAGACCATGGAGAAATCAGAGCTGGATGACCTGAGGACGGCGCGGAGTACTAATTTCAGGACCACGGACAGCAGCGCAACCCGGGCCAGCGGGGAAGCCTGTGTTTCTTCTGTTGTGCTCCTGACATCTCTGGAAGCCGCCCCCACCCCCTTGCTTGATTGGCAGCTCATGAGTGGAGAACAAGGAATCTGGACCCATGCACTCTCCCTCCTAGAACCAGCCCTGGCCCAGCCCCTGGCCCAGGGCCAGGCCTGCCCCAGACTCACTGCTCTTCACAGGAGCCCTGTTCCTGCCATCTCCCACTCCGCTTTCATTTCCACAGGCAAACACGACTCTCCCTCATGTCTTCCCCAGTCCACAGCATCCTCAGCACTGCCCCCTCCTCCCCAACACTGGACGCTCTGGGTCTCACTTTTTCAAAGATTTAAAGGAATTTTTTACTACACAGTCTTTTAAGTATACATCCCAAAGAGGTGACCCAATCTGTATATACATAAAAGCTGAGGCACTGACAGGCCCTTGAGCTCAAGGAGCTGGCCATTCCTGGTGCTGCTGCAGGGCCCTCGTCCTGGTAACAGGAGATGATTTTTGGTTTGTGAATAGCCTGCTTTTCTATGGAGTTGAATCCCATATGCACTTTGCTCAGTCATGCATGACTCTGGACAGCACAGTGGTGTCCCGCGTGTTCTGTCCAGGCTGTTGCTAGGACAGCATGTGAGGATGGCTCCTGGGGCTGCATGCCTCCTTCCACCATGTTATCTGGCCTCCAGTTCAAAGACATTTCAGGGGTCTCCCTTGGGGGCAGTAATGACCATGCTTGTCTATTTTTTTCTTGTGCACACATGCAAAGATTTATCTGGGCCATAAGCACAGGAGTGGACGTGCTGTCCCAACGCGGTCTACGTTTCAGCCTTACTGGATAATGGCAAACTTGCTCACTTGCTAAGTTGCATCCTCAGGTGCATCCTCTATTTGACAGGTGAAATGTTGTGCTTTTGTGTGTCCATCTTTTCCTTATCTATTTACACTTTTCCGTGAAATGTCCATTCAGGCCTCTCCCCCACTTCACTAGACTGTCCTGTGCTTCCAGGATTCTTTGTTTTCTGGACCAAAGACCTCTGCCTCTTTTTGGTGTTGCTCCAAACTTGATGGCTTCTTTTGGGTGAAGAGGTCTGAATTTTAATGTAGTCAGTGTGCTATCTCCTTCCTTTCGCTTTGAGAAATCCTTTGACTCAAAATCATGATTTTCTTTTTTTTAAATTTGTTTTGCATAGAAGAACTGGAGTGTAGGCCAGAGGTGTGTGTGTGGGGGGGTGGTGGTGGTGAGAGGACTCACCAGAGACAGAGTGGGGAGCAGGACAGGTGGAATGACAGAAATACACTGCTGAGGGGAGCAGAGGCAGGTTCACCCACGCACAGGCTCCTGTGGCCTCGGTGACGGCCCTTGGACACGGACACCCGGTGCTGGGGGCCTGGCTGCCTGTTTCCTCCAGGCACCTGCCCTGATCTCTAGTGTCTGCCTCTCGCCGCTACTGTTCTCAAGCAGTGCCCACAAAGAAGCGCCAGGGATACCTGCTGAAGAAATAAACCCACAGAGACCAACACCATGCAGAATATGCCCCTCTCCTTAGTTAGACCATCACTGCTCCACAAAGAGAGAAGCCGGTGGGCCAGGCTGGGGCGGCTCCCGCTCCTCCCAGGCTGAGGGTGAAGGAGTCACGTCTGGCCCCACCGGCCCTCTGCACAGGTCAGCTGGAAAACAGCCTCACCCACCAGACTCCCAGCCGCACTCAGGCCTCACTTCCCCAGGGCTGCTTTTTTTTTTTTTTTAATTTTTTTTTTTTTATATAGAGGCATGTTTTATTTATTTGTTTGTTTGTTTTGTTTATACAAGCACTGGGTACAGTCAGAAGCGCGGGAGGGTGAGAGAATTCACCAGAGCCAGAGCGGGGAGCAGAACAGGCAGACTGACAAAGCACATGGTGAGGGGAGCAGCGGGCGGCAGGAGAGGTCTGCGCGCCATGTGGGACCCTCCTCCGGGGGCCGGGGAGCAGCCGGGGATCGAACCGGCGCCCCTGAGGCCGCGGGCAGCTTCGCAACCCAGCGCTCAACCGCTGCGCCACCGGGGAGGCCCCCCCAGGGCTGCTTTTAAATGAGATCAAAGACTACAGGATTCACTCGAGTTCCTGGGTCACGTTTTTAACTGTTTGCCTAGGTTACTTCTAATCTGCAAGGACTTCCCCAGCACCATCTAAAGACTCGCCAGGATCAGGAAAGAATGGAGCTGGGCACTGCTCAGCCTGGAAGCCTGCAGGGTGAAGGGGAACGGCACCCTCGGGGAGGATGAAGCCCTCTCCCAGCAGCCCCAGCTGTTTTCAGACAGTCTGGCCACTTTGCCCACCCCAACTTCTGTCGTTCTGCAGAAGCCCCAGGCATCTATCTGCAAGGTCCAGGGCATTCCTGTGCCTTCACTAAGCATCCCGAGTCTGGTCTCTGTGCCTCTCAGCTTCCCCCTGCCCTTTGCACCCTGGACTCTTATGCTTATCCGCCCATTTCTGAGCAGCAGCAGGAGGCAGGCAAATCAAAGCCTGCGCGATCCCTACCCCTCCCTGGCCAGGATGCAGGCCAGGGTCACCCACAATGTCCACTTCTCAAGGGAATCAAATACTCTCATAATAGGCAGGAAAAAGGGGTAACAAAGGTGGTTCTTTAGGGGAGTGTTCCCATGGACAAGCTACCTCTGATTCCACCTCTGGACATATCTAGAAGATGAAACTCAGGGCTGTGCCCCTTTTCACACTGTCTGCAGGGAATTGGGCAGCTGGCATGAACTCCCTTGCCACAGCACCCAAGGTGAATTGTTAGGTCATCTCCAAGGGATATGATACAGAGTTTTAAATCCTGGTGGATCTTTCTAGTCCTGGTAAGAAGAAAATACATTTACTGTTGGGCACATTTAATAAAATGTAAAAGAAGTATGATTTTCTATTTCAATTCCCCACCCAGCAATCAAAGAGCAAGTGTATAACTTTGATGCATGACCAGGGTCCAGTGCTGGGGCCTATTTGCACACATGAACTTCTGCAGGCCTTAGCTGGGAGGGGGGTTTTATAAAACAATGTCTCGGGATTCTAACCCTTCTGTCCCAATGTTTAGGTCCTCTGTGGCCTGGTGTTCCCACGTTCTTCCAGCACGCCAGGACAGTGGACCTAGACAGCTGGCACTACTGTCAGGAAGTCCAGTGAAATGGTGTAAGAGGCTGGATGATCTACCGAAGAGGAGGTACAGAGTGCAGCAGAAACACAGCCCCTGGCATCCTTTCCAGAGGTGACAGGGAGGTGGGGCCCCCACCTTGGGCTCAAAGTCAGGGCCCTCAATCTGGGAGGGTGGCTACTGGTCCCAGAGAAACTACCTTCCCGGGAGGACAGAGAAGGCCTGGGGAGAGGCACGCAGGCTTGGAACAAGTCACCAGGCCCGGGTTCAGCCTCACTTCTCACCAAACAACAATTCCACCCAGAGCTAATGCACAGATCTCATCCCTGCCACGCCATCTGAGGGCTCATCCAGTTAAACTCATCCACCTAACACAGGATGGTGCTCCTTCCCGCCAACTGATCCTTCTCGCGCCTTCCCAGTGGCAGAGCTAGGTGCTGAGACCCTGTCAGCCAGATGCATGGTCCCACACACCCACCTCATGGGCCACGCAGCCAGAAAAGAAGCCTTGGCTGGAAAAACACAGGAGCACATTGTTAAAGTAAAGCAAAATCTAAAAAATAGAAGTCATTTCTGAGGCAATTTATTTCTTCCTTGCGCTGTGGCGGTAGGTGGGAGCTGGCTCTCCTCCGTCCTGAGGAAGGCAGGCCTCTCAGGCCCCGGGCCTAGCCCAGCGGCTCCCGCAGGCCCTGGTCGGGGGTGGGGGGCGGCTTCAAGTCACAGTAGCTGAAGGCGCAGCCCTCCAGGGCGTCTCCCTGGGAGAGGCCGTTGAGACCTGGCTCCTGGAACACTCTGGTGCTATCGTGCACTCCCCTCCTCTCCAGCGTGGCCCTCAGAAGTTCTCGGATTCTTTGGTTTTCCTTGGAGGTTGACTCCCAAACGACCTCAAGCTCACCTTCCATTTCTCTGAGGAAAATAAATAAAACAAAGGAATGAAATTTAAAATAGCACAGATAGTAGAAGAACGTTTAATGTGAGAAGGCAGAGGCTGCTGTACTGGGGCCTCTGAAGTGGAGGCTCCCAATGTCGAGCGAAGCTCTCAGGCCCAGGGGGAAGAGGGAATAAAAACAGGTAGGCACAGGCCGAATGACCTTTTATCTTTCCTCCTGACGTTTTGCCTCTTGCTTTATCTTGTACACATCCTTTGCTCTCCATGGAATTAACATGTACATGTGTAAAATAAAACAACGACTGCAGTGGCTGACCTGCCTGGCCGAGGGCACCCACATGGCACAGCCCTTAGGCCTCTCCTGCCTCCCCTCTGCCTGTCCCCATCCACACCTGGTCTCCACGCAGACACCCGTCACAGGACTTTGGGCCAGAGCCCAAGTGGGTCCAGACATAAAGAGTGAGCTAGGAGGTGAGGAGCAGGGACCGTAACAGAGAACTCAGAGAAGACCTGTGCTAGGAGGGTGAGTGCCCAGAGGGGACCAAGGCTATGGGATGTGGAAAGAGCAACAGAGCAGCTTTTCCTGAGCGAGGACACTGTGCCAGGCGCTGTGTGGGTGCTGGGGAAACAGAATCCTCATGGCCGTGGCCCACTGGAGGAACGGACCAGGCCCCCCACCCCGCCACCACCTCTCAGGACACTGAATCCTATGGGGGGTGGGGCGGGCAAGGAGAGGAGAGCAAGCCGCAGCCTGCAAGGAAGAAGAGCAGGCCTTGGGCAGGAGAGCCAAGTTGGGAAGTCAGCTCCTTAATTGATACTTCCAGATAGTTCTAGAAAATGTTAGAAGCTGGCATATCAAGCGGGCTCAGCACTACTGCTTAAGAAGAGGACAGTAGACAGAGGGGGGCCAGTGACAAGCCTACTTGTCCAACATCATGTTTCCTGTGAACTGTCCTCCCAAGGTTTGTGATGCCCACTGAGTGTTGGGCACTATTTAATTAATGGTTTAGAAAGTACCCAGACTTCTGCTTTCTGGCATAAAACATCCAGCTGTTTGATCAATTACAGCAATCATGATAAATGTATGGCTGACCTGGAAAGGGCAGGAAATCCCTAAGAGCAGAAAAAATTGAAGACTAAACTGGAACCACAGAAGCAGGCAAATAAAATGTTGGTTTTGCTTTGAGGCCAAGAGCCTATGCCGGAGTCCGAATTTCTGCAGGATGGAGACTAGGGGTCGGCACATGCAGACTGAGTGCGGCAGGAAATCCCCGGCTCCCTCGGCCTTGCTTCCCCTTTCCTAGAAACTCTGAGCGGGGTGTCCCAGATTTAGGCAGGTAATTAGGAAGCACATGAAAGCCCCTCAAAGCAAGGATGGGTGGGTGGGTGGAAAATCTGCCCATTTTCAAAAGAAACAGCGCTGAGAGGCTAACAGCCTCCTTGGGGGCTGCAGCCACTGGCTTGTTTCCAAATGAAATGGAGACTCTACGTGATTCACTATGGTTAGGCTCCCCAGGCCCTGAGCGGAGTAAACAGAGGGTAAAAAGAAATTTTTGAGGCAAACAGGGGAAAACCCCCGCTGGATAGATTAAACAGTGCATTGGGCATGGTCAGAGAGAAGCAGGAAGCTGGAATGCAGGGCAGGAGAATGCACCTCAGAGTACAGGGTAGTGGGAGGACAGACATTGCAAATGCAATCATGGCATGGAGGATATTTTTAAAATCCCTTTGCATTTTCTAAAAAAACATTACCACAGACTATTTTTTTAAGTTAACAATAAAATTACAGCGGCGCTACATTGAAAATGTTCTTTGGCACCAAAAGAGAAGCAAAAGTAAATCTTGTCTGAAGAAAACATCTTCAGGACAGTCCCTCAGGGTTTCATGGACTAAATTCAACCACATCTGAGTTTACTCACCCAAAGGAATGAGCTGCCTGGGGCACGAATGGAGGAGAGCAGGTGAGGGCTCCCCTCCAGACTGCAGACACTGCAGCTACCACACACACAATGACAGTAACTATGCGTGCATGCTAAGAAATAAAAGATGTGTCGAAAATGAGCAAAGACCAAGCACTTGGACCTCCCTGGTGGCCTAGGGGTTAAGTCTCAGCGCTTCTACCACTGTGTCCTGAGTTTGATCCCGGGCCAGGGAGCTGACCTACACGGTGCAGCAGACCTCTCCTGTCTCGCCCGCTGCTCCCCTCAGCAGTATGTTTCAGTCGATCCGCCTGTTCTGCTCCCCACTCTGTCTCTGGTGATCCTCTTACCCCCCCGACACCTCTGGTCTACAACCCAATTTTATGCAAAATTAAAATTAAAATTTTTTTAAATCTTTAAAAAAGATAGAAAGAAATAAAATATTTTTTAGAAGACCAAGCACTTATTTTAAAAATGAATAGTCAGATTTTCAAAAGAACCAAATAAAGCTTCTGAAAATAAAATCTGCAGTTGTTGAAATACAAAACTCAGTGGCTGGGTTAAGGAGTCCACTGAATACAGCCAAAGAAAGGGATATTGAGCAGAAGAAATTACCCAGAAAGCAGGCCTGAAAAACAAAGAGATGGAAAGTTTAAAAGATAAGGCACATGAAAATGATTCAGGAAGAAGAGCTAAGACATATTTAATCTGAATTCCAGAAGGAAATTTAGAAAGAATGAGGGAAAAAGACTTATTTAAGAGATACTGACTGAGAATTTTTAGACTAACAAAAGACACACACACACAATCACAGATACAGAGAAAAAAAAGCCATAACAAATAGATAAATAAAAGAAGTTCACAGTGTTACAGAGGGGAATCTCAATAAAAAGGGGGGGGGGGTTCCATGCACCTGCCCCTCCTAAAGAAGGGTGGAGCTCAGCGTCGAGGGGAAGTTAGAAAAAGACTAGCAGGAAGACCCAGTAGGAGACGGGGAACAGAGAGGTGAAGAGGCCCCATGACATCTGGGCGTTGGGCTTGCACGGGGACCTGGGGACATGGAAGGAGACGCGTGGCATCAAGACCCGCAGACACACCTGGAAGAGACATTGGTGAGGGGCCTGTGGGGAGGCAGACAATGGCAGTTGTTACCTTGATTTGCATCTGATTTTGCTCTTTTCACCCCAGACTTGCCTCTTTGCTATGGCCCCCAGCAAAAGGCGCCTTAGACTTCTGGCAACCTTTAGTGCCTCAGTGCCCCATTTTGGGCCAATCCTATTGTGTTGGGCATTTACCCACAAGGGGATGGGTGACTTTGTATATTACGCTGGAAAACGATTATCCTTTCTTTTTCTATGCACGATCATTTTATTGAAGTTCTTCTGCACTAGAAGCATGCTTTGTCTTTATGCAGCAGATGGCAGAACCTGTTTAGATTGTGCAAATTAATAATAAAGACAGAACAATGAAAATGCAGAATACAAGAGACAGAGGAAATCTTAAAAGAGGCAAGAGAAAGGAGGGACCACTTTTACAAATGACAAAAGACTTCTCAATAGCGACAATGAAAGAGAGAAGCCAGGGAATACATAGATGCTGAGAGAAAAGACCATAGGGATAAAATTCTGCACCCACAAAAAACATCTTATAAAGGTGACTGGGAAATGAAGACATTTTCAATTAAGCAAAGACTAAGAACTTTAGGAAGAAGGAAAGTACTCTGAGAAATAAGACCTGAGAAGCAAAAAAGAACACATTAAAAGGTTAAACTGAGACATATTAAGATTTTAAGGGTTTAGTTGGGCAAAAATCAATTTGAAGCAGGCAGCATTCAATCTAGCAGATGGAGCTGTGAGGAAGCTTTTAAAGTCAGAAGAGACAAGGAACAAGAAAGTTACAATACAAAGTTGGCTGTTATCTCAAGGTTACATTTTTAGGGCAAGGGAGGGGCCTCTCAGGTAGATTGTGTCACTAATGCTGAGCAGGCAACTCCTGACTGATTAGGTTGAGAGTCAGAACTATGTCTTGGTTTGGTGATGTGGGGTTACCATGAATGATCCCATTTTGGGCCTGTTGTCTAGTTTTAAACAATTAGTAAACAAAGAAATTGGTAAATTGTAGGTAAATCAAATAAACAATAATATAAAGACTAGTAACATTTAATTTGGAGAGCAACAAATACATATCTGTATCTGGTGCCAACCACAGCATCCTACTGACTGGGGAACCAATGAGATGAGAGCATTAAACCTTACAATTGGGAGGAGAAATGTAGAGATGCTGCTTCCATTCAGTTATTATTTTTTTAAAGTTTTATTTATTTATGTATACAAGAACTGGGGTGAAGCCAGAGGTACAGGGGGTGAGAACATTCACCAGAGACAGTAGGTAGCGGAACAGGCAGAGCCACTGAAAACACACTGCTGAGGGGAGCAGTGGGCGAGGTGGGCTGCTCCCTGGCAGGCGGGGGATCTAACTCTTGCTGCAGTAGCTGGGAATAGCTTGATAGTGCTGTCTTTAACCCCTGCGCCACATGAAAGAAAATAGACATCCCTGAAACTTTTATAATCTTTCAGTGCAATTTTACTTAGAAAACAACAAAACTTTTTAAAGAAACAGAATGTATAACTTTCAAAACATTATAGGAAGAAAAAAATGGAATAAGGGAGAAAAGGAAAAAACAAAGTTTCATCTTATGAATGCGATCCTCAACCTCCTGTCTAGCCAGAAATTTTATAGTGGACTAAATTTTTACAGTGACTGTTCATGAAATATTTGCACCCCATACAACTTTTAAGAGATTAATTTCAAAGGTCTACAAAGAGCACACACTATTCAACAAAAACAAAGAAAATGGGCAGAAGAGCTAAAAAGATACTTTTCCAAAGAGGAAATGCAAATGGCAAACGGGTATATAAAAAAAATGCTCAACATCACTTATAATCTGGGAACTGCAAGTAAAGGCATAATGACATACCACCGCACACCAGTAAGAATGGTCCAGATTTAAAAAACTAGCAACAACAAATGCTGGCGAGGATTTGGAGAAAAAGGAACCCTCTTACACTGCTGGTGGGAGTGCACACTGGTCCAACCACTATGGAAAGCTGTGTGGAGGACCCTCAAACTACTAAAAATGGATCTGCCGTATGATCCAGCAATTCCACTCCTAGGAATCTACCCAAGAGACACAAAAACATTAATTCAAAAGGAAACTGCACTCCTCTCTTTATTACAGCACTATTGATAATAGATAAGATACGGAAACAAACTAAATGCCCAAAACAGATGAATAAATGAAGATGAGGTGGAATATACACTATACACACAATGGAATACTAGTCAGCATTCAAGAAAGATAAACTCATGCCATTTGCAGCAACATGGATGGAGCTGGAAGGGATCATGCTCAGTGAAGTAAGAAGGAAAAAGAAAAATATTGGATGGTTTCACTTATAGGAGGAATTTAGGGGAAACAAACAAGGGATCAGGAGAAAAACAAAACTAGCAGGCAAAAGCTAAATCAAAGAAATTCTTCAGGGGAGGGGGAGGGAGAGGAATCAGAACAGAGGAGGGAAGAGCACAAGTTACTGTGTGTAGGATAAATGGTTCTCAGGCTTTTCTGCCCTCCCACCAATAGGATTGCCCAGCCTGATGGGGCACCTGCAGTTGTTCCATTGTTGCAAACTGTCTTGCTTACATCTGTGGGCCTTGGGAGAAGTACTGCGGTAGTCAACAGGATGAGAAAAAGCAGAAGAGAGAAGGGACGAAAGAAGCCAAAGGAGCCCAGAGTGAAGACTGGCGGGGGGCTTGGAGGCCTCCTGGCCCCCTGGCACCCGTGCCTGCCGTGTACCTGGTTGCTGCACTGCATGCGAAGCTCAATAAAAGCCTGAGAAACCCACTGAGGGCTCAGGACTCTCCTTTACCTGCTCTGCTGGGATCATAGATGACCTGCTCAGTGGCTATCCTGCCCCTACACTGTGCTGATGGTTCTTGGGTGACTTGGTGGTGGCAATTCTATGGGGATTACACCTGAGAGGAACAATGACTTTAAAAAATAAATAAATAAATAAATAGATTAATTAATTTAAAAAACAGGCCAAACAAACAAAAACCAAAGTGACTGTTCATGGTAAGAGCATCTAGGTCTACAGAAGCCATGTTAGACAGGACTTCCTTTTGCTTGGAAGCATCTTGCTGCTGGAAAACGGACAGACAGCTGCACTCTGCACGGCATCAAGTACATGGATCCTACTTGAACTTGAAGAAAAGCATATTTGGGCATCATGATGACTGTCCTACATGCATCAGTCCATAGTCCAATCTGTCAAAGACAATATGGCACAACGACTTAAGTGGGACACAGAGGTAATGTGAGGGAGCACAGGACCCCCTTCACCAAGCAGCGATGATGCTTTCTGAAAAAATTTTTTGAAGATTTATTTTTATTTATGAATACAAGAGACGGGGTTAGGCCTGAGGTGTCAGGGGGTGAGAGGATTCATCAGAGACAGAGTGGGGAGCAGAACAGGCAGATCCATTGACACACACTGCTGAGGAGAGCAGCGGGCCAGACAGGAGAGGTCTGCTGCACCGTGTGGGTCAGCTCCCTGGCTGGGGATCGAACTCAGGCCCTGCGGTGGACTGTAGAGGTGGTAGTGCTGAGACTTAGGAGGTCTGATGTTTTTAATACACAGGCGATACTTCCCTGATGATATGTTGAAAGGATAAAGGTGTAACTGATGTAGTACAGTCCACCCACAGGGAACATCACGCGCCTATCATCTTGGGCTGCAATCTTATACAAAGAGATTTAGCTCTAATCAAAGCTTTTGGCAATAAAAAAAAAAAATTCAAAGCAGAAATTCAACATTTCACCCCCAAAATAAAAATCGCCTGAGAAAACAAAAATCTCAAAGAAATGGAAAAGAGGAGAAAAAAGGGGAGAATAACGAGAGAGCAGGTGCGATGGAGGAAGTCCACTTGTCCAACAGGAGTTTTGAAAGGAGAATAAAGGAATGAAGGGGCAGGTGGTGGCCGTGGGTGACATCACTGCCCTGTGTACTTGACAACGTTCTCACAGCAATAACAGCAAATGGTAACCGTGGAAAGGAGCGCCAGCTAACCTTACTGTGGTCACCACTTTCCAATCCACATGTGCACAACGCACCACAGTGTGCACCTTGAGCTGACACACGCTACATGTCAATTACATCACACTAAGGCTATGGGGAGACTGAAAAAGAAAATGAGGAGCAAATAATAATCAAGACCACTATTCAATTCAGTTAAGATAAAAACATACAAACAAAAATAAGCAAACCAACAAAACCAGTCCAGACGGCCGCAGCACAAAACTCCACCAAGCACACCCCAGATCTGTTCCGTGGGGCCGGGCGCTCCTACCTGTTCTGCCGCAGCGCCTGGTCCAGGACCTGCTGCTTGTCCTGCAGCATCCTGTGCAGGTGCCGCATCTCCTGCAGGTACTGAGCCGTCCTGCTCTCAAAGTCCTCCTGCTGCTCTGTCAGCCGGTGACTGATGTCACCCACCTTCATGGCCGCCTGCTTCTTGTAGCCCTGGGGGAGGAGAGGGGCTCTGTGAGGGAGGGAGTGGATGGCCTCCAGGACGCATTTCCTATCTTTCTGGGGTCAGGGGAGGGCACCTGCCCTGCTCTGGGAGGGAACCCCTGGATGCCAAAAGTCAAATAAAGTAATAAAAGAATTTCAAGAATAAAATCAAATTCCTAGCTTGCGTCATGCCTGGTTTTTCAGATGCTGCAGATAAAATGAAAAAAGCAGGACCAGGCAAGGTCTGTCATTCTCTATTGGCGAACACAAGACTAGGGTAGAGGCACGGTCATCACTGTCCTTTCATTTGTACTGTGTGGTCTTCAAGGTTATGAATGCCCTCTGAGCAGTTCGCAAACTGTTGTCACACAGATTCTGATTTCCAGTTTACACAGATTCAATTCTTTTTTAGAAATTCTGACATTCAATTTATATAACCCCTCTGACCCAAGAAAGGTTACTGTACAGGTTTTACATTTCTAGGTAAAAGTCTTTTTTGCATTCTGACTTTATGAATTTCTGGTTTTCCTCTTTTTGATCAACAGACGTTGCCCTTTTTGATCAACAGACGTGTCTCTGACAGCTGATCTATGATCAGTGTTTATGACTGTTCTGTAGATGTACACACACACACACACACACATACACCTCATAGACTATATTGTTAAATTATCTATTGCCTTAAGTTACTCTTGATTCATCTCCTGACCTGTTTCTGACTAAGAGAAGTAGATTAAGCTGCTATTATTACTGTTTCTGTTTCCCTTTGAATCTCCTGTAATTCTACTTTATAAATCTGCTGTTGTGTTAAATACATAGATGTTCATACTGACAATGTAAATGTTCTTTTTTTTTAAAAGATTTATTTATTTATTTACACAAGCACTGGGTACAGTCAGAAGCGCTGGAGGGTGAGAGAATTCACCAGAGCCAGAGTGGGGAACAGAACAGGCAGAAATACACTGAGGGGAGCAGCGGGCGCAGCAGGAGAGATCTGCGCGCCATGTGGGACCCTCCTCTGGTGGCCGGGGAGCAGCCGGGGATCGAACCGGCGCTGCAGAGGCTGCGGGCAGCTTCACAACCCAGCGCTCAACCACTACACCACTAGGGAGGCCCAATGTAAATGTTCTTAATATCATCCTTAACATTATGAAGACCCCTTTCTTTTACTTTTTTGGGTCTCATTTAGTGCTCTGACCTGAATTCTACTGTTGGTATAAATGTGGATTATTTTTCTTTCATTTCTAATCTTTCTGAAACATTTGTCTCATGGCTCTTGCACAGAAGAACTTTCTTTTAATGGGTGAATTAAGATCATTTAAATTTATTTACAAGACAGATACGTTTAGTGTCAATTTTGTTGCTTTCTGTTTATATACATATATTTTAAAAGACTGGTCTTTTTTTTCTTTGTTCTTTTGGCACTGTAATTCCACTACCTAGGAACGAATCTCTTGATTCTGTGGTTACTTTTATTCTGTGTCTTTAAATTACATGCAGTGGTGCCCTCATCTCATAGTATCCTTCCCGTTCCTCTCAGAAGTGACGTAATGTCAGCTCCTAACCACCTTTCTTCACACCTCACCTACCTATGTGCTGAAGCCCTGAATATCCCGACTCTCAGTTAATATACAATGATATAATCAGCTAGATATTCTACTTTTTACATTTCTTCCCCTTCACCTATGACATTGTCCTAGGGTGTATTATTTCTACATTGTCAGAAAGCACATCGTCTTATTCCATCAGTCCACGCTGTAAGTCTCAGTGGATGGTGTCCATGTGCTGTCTAGTCATTTCTTGGCTGAACTGAGGCTGACTGATCCCAAGACAGGTTTACAGAAAAAGATGTGCCAGAGTTCTCCGTGGTGAAAATTGTCTGAAGAACTTGGGGGGACAGAGACACACTTGGCTCACCCTTTCGCCTTTGATTTTCACAGACTGTGTCCTAGGGCTCCGTGGCCTTCGGTGCTACTGCTGGGAAGTGTGATGGAATTCTCTTTTTCTTTCATCTTGGTCTTTTGCCTGGGTGTTCAACACATTTTTTCTTTATCTTAAATTCATAGGTCTTTGTGTCAATTTTCTAGTCAATTCCAGGTTCGTTTTTCCTAAATACATATGTGCCCTTTCAATATGCAGATTCAAGTCTTTTTTTATTTTAGAAAAGCTTTTGATGAATTACGGTTTGGAGCAGAGTAAGTTGTTTTCATTTCTTCCCTGGGGACTCTAACAATAACACTGGGTATCACTGTCTACTGAGTGCTTTTCACATCTTTATTCCTGCCATCTTGTCTTTGCCTTTCTCATTTGTATCCCGTATGTCCCTTATTGTGCTTTTAAGATATCTTTCTCCTTGCGCTCCTTGTAATTCAGTCTACATTTCTGAAATGGCTCTTCTCTCCTGTGTTATGTCACTTTCCTTTCCGCGTCCTCCATTATCCGGCCAGCTCTTCTTGAGCTTTCTGTGCTTCTGCTTTGTGTTCTCTTCTTAACTCCGATTGCTTTATTACATTTCAGCTGTCCAGTGCCTATCTATCTAGCAAATGCTTATCTGCTGAACTGCCAATCCATTCATTTGGAGCACAGGGTACAGTTTTGATCTCCTTTGTGGTAACATTATTTCTGACCCATTTTCATCATGTGGAAGAATCACACTTCTATTTTTCTTCCTTTTTCTTAAAGTATTTCTGTGTGGAGACCGTTGAGCTCCTTTCGGATGAGGTGAGGTCGTGGGTGGTGGGAGCAATGGTTGCTGGGTTGGACAGCCTTCCAAGCTTCACACGCCCCCTCTTTGGCTCCAGCACAGTTCCACAAGGCGCCTGAGCATCTGTTTCCCAGAGTTCTTCACAGCCTTGACTGCCAAGTCATATCTTGCTGGGGTTTCCTGAGATGCTTCCTCTGGATTTTCTCAAGCCTTTTCCAGGTCTCTTCATGACCCAGGAGGTTTGCCTGGTTAACTCGGATCCAGCTTACAGGTTCTTTCTCCAGGTGGGGGTGGGGGTGGGGTGGAGTGTACAGAAAAAAATCTGTATTTTTTTCTATACAAATGAGCAATAATGAGACATATTCCCAAGACAAGGCACTTTGAAGGTCAGACCTTTTCTTCTGAAATAAAAGCTAACAGTAACACCAGAGAAAACATAAAATCCCATAATTACTAATCATTACTCATGATACTTTTGTGCAAATTTACATCATTAATAGCATGGTGCATCCTCAACCCTTTCTGATGCAGAGTTGAGATGCTGTTTTGTACATTGCTTTTGATTTTGCTGTATTTTAAAAATTGTAGAAGAGCTCATTTAATTAATTTCCCAAATAGCTACTGAATTTACTGGGTACCATGAGCTAGGAGTGACTTCAGGTGTTTGGAATCTATCAGTGAACAAAAGGTGAGAAACCCCTGCCCAGGTGGAGCTGATAATCCAGTTGGGGGACGGGGGAGAGACTGATAGTAACCAATAAACATAATAATAAACATAATAAATGAGGAGGTGATGCTGTTTATGGAAGAAACAATAAAGCAGGGAATGAGACTCAAGAGTGTGAAAGGTGAACAGCAATTTTAAATAGTCAAGGTATGCCTCATTGGTAAGGTGATGTGGCTATTTGGGGGGAAGCACATACAATATGAGTTTAATTAGTAACAAGGCAAACACCAAATAACTACCATCTATGTTAACAGAATATTATCAGGATTCTGGAAGCCGCCAAGTATCCCCACCCCTTCGATATAATCATTAATCCCCTTCAAAAACCCTGAGCTCCCAGCCCTGCACCCAGGCCTCCAGCCTGCCTGCCTTCTCCCTGCTCCACCCCACCCTCCCCACGGCCCACCCTCCCCCCTGCCTTTCCCTCAGCCCTGCCTGAGAGAAGTCTGTGTGGCAGGCAGGGCTGTGGCTGCACGGAGAGGCCACAGTGAGAATCAGGACAGCAGGAGGTCCTGGGAGAGGAAGAGGTTGGGTGTGGCAGGTGGCAGGGAGGAGAGTGCCCGCAGGAAGACTGTGCTCTTGGGCGGACATTGGAGAGCGTCACTAGGATTGAGCAAGAGAGGGGCAGGTCAGCACTGCTCTTTACTGAAGCCACAAATGTGGGCTTGAGCATAAAGCCTGGAGGTGAACTTAAGGACACAGCCTGGAGGTTCTCCCATTTCTTCTTCTTCTTTTTTTTTTTTTGTGGGACCCTCGCTGGCGGCCGGGGATCGAACCAGCGCTGCAGAGGCTGCGGGCAGCCTCTCAGCCCAGCACTCAACTGCTGCACCACCAGGGGAGGCCCTCCCATTTCTTCTTTTTGAACAGCTGTGTGATATCTTACGGGGTAGATGGAATGAAGTTTATTTCATGATTGGAGAGGTGCTTTTTCTGGAGAGGTATTATTTCTGCCAGGGAAGCCATACACGGCTTTACTCTGTGGATCAAGGGATATAAACTCCCAAAATGTGATCATTTTCCTTAAAGTCCTAGTCTGCACCCATTAGGCCTCTGTTCCCATTTGAAATGGAATCTCTGAGGCTAAATGACGGCTTACCTTAACTTTTTCCTCTAATCTTCCCAAGCGAATGTTGCCTTCTATGATTTTGTTGAGAACTCCATGCTTCTCACTTTCCAAACATTTAGCCTAAGGAGCAAGGTGACAAGAAAACGATGGGATCCCAGTTTCACAGGAAAATTAAAATAAAAAATTCTTTTGCAAAGAGTATTGTAATTCACAAGTAACTTCCATTCTGCCACTTGTTCTGCCACCACCCCTACCCCCCACTCCCCTACCCTCCTCTGGTTTCCGGATGCCCACATGAGGGCAGAACTTGGGCCAACAGCTGAGTGAGGCAAGAGCTCCACCTACAGGGGAAGTCTGGCACATGTCTCTATTCCTGTGGGATATGTCATTCCTTCAATCATATCCAAGGAGTAAGTGCCAAGGTGCAAAAATAAAACCAAAAAATTAAAAACTCATTAACATGATGATTGGAATAACACAAAATTAAGGATAACCAACTATGAACACGGTGCCACTCTCTAATCAAATGTGATTGTCAGTATATCCAAGAGATATGTCATTTGAAGCTGAATGATTTAGGTTAATGTCTACAAGGGATTCTGAATTACTAGGCCTATAAATTGACTATTTCAAATACTATTTCTTTTCAAAATTAAAAAGGACAAGCATTTCTTCTAAAGTAGGCTACTAGTGGCAATTTGATTTTCAAAAAAGGAAAAATAAGACACAGACTGTTAAATAACTTGCTACAAGTCACATGGAAAACCCACCCACCCTAAAGGCAAGACTGGAAATTAAGATGCCATCTGAAAAAATGTTCAACATCACTTATTATCAGGGAAATGCAAATGAGATTTCACCTCACACCTGTGAGAATGGCCCATATTAAAAAAACATGGAAACCGCAAATGCTGGGGAGGATGTGGAGAAAAAGGAACACCTCTGCTTGTGAGAATGCAAACTGGCCCAGCCCTTATGGAGAGCTGTGTGGAGGTTCCTCAGAACACTAAAAATGGAGATACCATATGATCCAGCAATTCCACTCCCAGGAATCTACCCAAAGAACACAAAAACCCCTCTATTTATTGCAGAACTATTTACAACAGCCCAGATATAGAAACAACCTAAATGTACCAAAACAGATGACTGGATCAAGAAGATGTGGTCTATATACTATCCAACAGTCAAAAAAGGGTAAACTCATGTCATTTGCAGCAACGTGGCTGTAGCTGGAAGGGATGATGCCCAGTGGGATAAATCAGAAGGAAAAAGATAAATATTGGATGGTTTTACTTATAAGAGGAATATAGGGAAAACGAACAAAGGATAAGGAAACAGACAAAACTTGCAAGCTGACCTTAGATCACAGCATCCAGCAGGGAAGGGGAGGAAGAGAGACCAGAACAGGGGAGAGAAGAGGACAGGGACTGTGGGGATGGATCACAGGTGCTGTGATGGTGGAAGAACTATGGGACCACACCTGAGGGGAGAAATCAAATACTGTCCAAAAATGAACAATGATGTAAGAAAATAAATAAATAAAAAGAAATTAAGATGCTAGTATCAAACTAAGATGTGAGGGGCTTTGAACCCCCAGGAGAGCAGGATGGGGTCAACTGCAGGTTCTTGGCCCACAATCACCAGACAGGACAGAGGCAGCCAGGGCACTTCTGGGCCGAGCCTGGAAGGGCTGGTTTGGGGCTCGAAGAGGATGGTTTGGGGCTGTGGGGCCTGTGCACACAGAGGTGCCTCGTGATGGATAGATCTCGGTGGGTGAGAGCAGCACCCCCACGTCTCAGAAGTCTCAGGGTCTCAAGTCTGGTTCCCAGGTCATAACAAAAAGGCCAAGGCAGGAGGAGAGTCCACATCTCGCTAACAGTCTGTTGGTTTAATTTCTAACTTGCAAGTATTCAAACAGATGGTACTGGCCTCCATTTGTATTTCCATCCTGGACCCACAAATATGAGGGGTGGGCCTAAGAGGGACCCTTTCAGGGTTAGGGAGGATCCCAACCCATGTGTCCCACCCTGCAAACAAGCCAGCTTCACATCTATGGTGGCACCGACACGTGATGGCCGGTCCCATGAACAACTCCCAGGTAAAGGGGGCTGTTTGGCACTTTCCCTATTTCAAAAGCTTTTGTTCTGCCCTCTTGCTGCCCAGGAGGCAGAGAAGGAGAAATGGGCGCTCACCTTACTACAGAAAATGCCAGAGAGTTTAGCACTTGGGTTGGGATAGCGACTTCTCAGGAGGGGACTAGAGCCCAGGAGGTCTGCAGGCTTTTAAGGCTCAGAACCACGCTGTCAGGCAGGCTGCTTTCTCAAAGCCTCAGGAGAGATTTAGACATCACCAGTATTGTATAACCAGGCTTACTACTCTGCTTCCAGCATCTATTATCATATTTTAAAAATTTCTGAGACCTTAATATAAGTACAGAATGGCATCTGAAGAAGGACTTGAATAGCATTTCATTTACTGTAAGATGAACAATTTCCCCACCAAATTGCATTCTGTTTATCTTCCTGTTATAAAAACCATTATCTAGAAGCCCAGGAGGAACATAATAATTTTTTAAGAAATGGGGAAAAGCTTGTGACACCGCCCAGCAGGCTCTCTACACCTCATTCACCCTGGAGAAGGGCTGAGTCATTTCCAAATTTGCCCATTCCTCTCTTGGAAGTGTGCTGGTCTCTTCTAATGGCATCCCTTAAACTATTTCCGTCCTGTACTAACTGAGACTTGCAACATTGCTTAAATGTTTAAAATGGACATAAGCAAATGCATTCAATGTAGAAGACTCCTAAAAAGCAGGTAACTAAAAAGATTTTAAAATCTGTAATTCCACCACCTAGAGACAGTTATCTAACTCGCTGTTACGTTTTACAGTAAATCCCATCAGACTGTCTTTCAGTGCATAGCGCTTGGCACAGTGTCTGTCTGCCATCTTCACACGATCTGCTGCAGATGTCTTTTAAAATCAATGTGGAGACGCCAAGAATCTAGGGCATCTCTCACGTGGGAGGATCACCACGATGAACCCCATTGAACCTCTCATGGTTCGTAGGTTTCATCTTCCAACAGGGGACCTAGTAAGGCCACGTAACAGAGAATGTAAAGACGCCTCTGCGCATGCACTAAGGCCCCATGACTGTTGGTCCTACTTAGTTAAGCGGACTGAGCCCATTCGTTTACCTTCCAAAATATCACTTGCCCTTATTTAAAAATTTGGGTTACTCGCCTTTCGAAAACGTTTTTCCCTATGGTTGAAAGATAAAATTTTGGAGAATTATAAAATTTGCAGTTGAAATTTTAAAAGAAGAACTGCATGTACAACTTTGTAACAAGAAAACGACACTTAAGATCATGTTTGCCTATGAACTTGCAGTGTATTCAGAGTAACCGAGCAAACTTACCAAGCACATAAGATTGTCGCGTTCCTGGGTCACGGTCTCTGTCAGGCCAACGAGGTTGGCGAGGTACTGGCGAGCTGACATTTCGTTCTGCATGGCCTTTTCCACCTGCTTTTTGAGGACATCGATCTTTTTTTGCGATCTCCTAGAGAATGCCCCCAAATGGTAGGAGAAAAAAAACTCATTAGCCTGAAAGGGCAGGGCAAGTGAATGTCTGTATTATAAAAATAAATAATAAATAAATTGAATAAGTAAACATCAAATAAATAATAAAAGTATGTGAGCCTTTAAATGTTATCCTTTAGCAACCCAACTCTTTCACAAAGTTTCAGGGTGAGAAAAGGAGCCTGAGTTTACAAGCATAATATGGACTCTAAGCCAAGTCAATGAAATCATAAAATGTTTAGCAGCATTAATAGGTTAATTATATATTATCCTGCTAATTTTTTGGCTCATCTTCTAAAAGATACATTTGAAAAAGGAATCCAGTAATCCCCAAACAGACTTTTGGGAAATGGTTGAGAAAGAACTTCTAGAACTTCCAGAATCTTGGGTCCTCATTGTGATGATCACCCATAACTGAATCGAGGACTGACATCCAGTAATCTCAATTATCCTCTTCCATTCTATAGCTGATGTTGGGGAAAAAATAGAAAATTCTCCCATGGTCTTTTTTAAACACTATTTTTTAACAACCAGCTTAAGAAAAAATAAATATAAACCTGTCTTTTTTCTGTCTCTTCTCAAGTTCGGCTTCCAGTGCCCTGTTCTTCGCTGTCAGACTGTTCTTCTCTAACTGCAGGCTCTTTCTCTGCATTTGCAGGACTGCCAACTTTTCCATCAGCTCTTCCATCTCAGCACGTTCTTTCTCTTCTTCCTTCTGCAAACGACTGACAGACAAACCCAGCACAGGCTTGGATCAGGACAATGAGGCAGGGCCAGGTAGTGACAACAGCCCAGCCCTCAGCACCTGGGTGGGTCATCTGAGAGGCCTGTGCCTCCCCAGTCCCTGGAGGATGTGGGCTGGACTCCTGGAGGAAGGACAGACAGCAGACATGGCCTGGCTGGGTACACGCTGCTTCGAAGGTTTGTCTGCCTGGAATTTTTGCTTTTGCCTGTGTTCATATACTTATTGAAACCCCCTTTCTTCCACATAGAACTGAAGATAGTTTACTTTTCTATGTAATTATAATTGCCTCCCCCCAAGTCTAAGGCTAAAACAAGTTTTATTTCATAGTGAAGTAATTAATGACATGTTGCTATGATAAAATAAACAGAACTCAAGGAGTATATACAATTCCAATATATAATTCTGGCAAAATGATGCTTGAGGGAAGATTTTATTGGTTCTCGGTCAACTGTCAGGTGATGACCAGGTGGGGCCAGGCACACACAAAGGGTGCCCAACCTACAAGAGATGGGGTCTCTCTGGGCACCATATTGGGTTCATTTCCTGGTGATAAGCCTCAGACTTCATGTGTTTGGGGTCTCCCTCACTCACACAATTTCAATGACCTTGGTCTGGGTTGGTTCCTGAACACCCTGTCAGGAATTTTCCAGATAGCATCCACTGCTTACTAGTTTACTGTATTAGTCAAAAGCGACAAGATTAAGGTACCCAGATACCCACATATAGAAACAGAAACACATGCGCGATCAACTTCAGTTATCACCTTATCCCAGTATGCCTAGGATTTCCCCAGTTTTAGCACTAAAAGTTCCACATCCTGGAAAATCCCTCTGCCCCAGGCAAACTGGGATGGCTGCTCACTGTAAATAGGTCACACGATACTTTTTTTTTTAAGATTTATTTATTTATGTATACAAGAACTGAGATATAGGTTAGAGGTATGGTAGTGGGTGGTGAGAAGATTCACCAGAGACAGAGTGGGGAACAGAAGAGGCAGATCTACTGAAATACACTGCTGAGGGGAGCAGTGGGCGAGACAGGAGAGGTCTGCTGTGCCATGTGGGTCACCTCCTTGGCTAGGGATCGAACTCATGCTGCAGTGGCTGAGGATAACTTCATAGTGCTGCATCTTAACCCCTTGTGCTACCAGGGAGGCCCCAATACTTTTTTCTTTTTAAATAAAATTGTGATCACTCAGTACCAACTGTTTTGTAGTGCTTAAGCTCCTCACTTGAAAATATTTTATGGCTATTTTCCCATGTCAAAAAAACTTATGTTGTGCTATCATGTGTAATGGCTGCATTGTATTCCATTTTATGGTTGTATCCTTTCACTTAACTAGTTTATTCCTGGATATCTAAGTTTCCAGTTCTACTACTTTAAATTACCTTTGGTTTTAAAACCAACAAAGCCTGGAATAATAGAGAAAAATCACAGATATATACTATGTGCAGATGGCAGCCCTCCAGGACAGCCAAATTTTACTTGAATAAAAATACATACTATTCTTAGTCTCAGAAACCTATACTGGTGCAGCTAGATGACTCCAGGGCCTCCCTGGTGGTGCAAGGGGTTAACTCTCAGCACTATGAAGCTATCAGCGGACACTGCAGCATGAGTTCAATCCCCGGCCATTGAGCTGACCCACATGGCGCAGCAGACCTCTCCTGTCTCACCTGCTGCTCCCCTCAGCAGTGTATTTCAGTCAATCTGCCTGATGTGCTCCCCAGCCTATCTCTGGCGAATCCTCTCACCCTCCCCACACACCTCTGGCCTACACCCCAGCTCTTGTATGCATAAATAAATAAATAATAAAACTTTAAAAATAAATAAATAAATGACTCCCAAAAATATGGAGCGGCCCCTCTCCATCCTGCCTATAACAACTGCATAGTGATGTATTAACCCTTGAAAAGACATTAAATCCTTACCTTTTTAAATCATTTACAATTGAAGTATGAACTTCCATTGATATTTTGCCATCCAACTGTATCTTTAGTTCTTGGCATTTGGTACGTAACGTTTCCAACTGCTCCTTGTTCCCACTCAGCTCCTTTTCTTGGTTCTGTGTTTTAGTCTCCAGAAGGATTAGTTGTTTGGTCAATTTGGAAACTAAAAAACAAAAGTGATGAGACTTAATGAAACCTGGTTATTGATTACTAGGTACTGTGAATAAAAGCCAACCTATAAAAAATGAACTTTTAAAAATCTTTTGGAGATTCAGAAATACCAGAGGCCTTGTACTTAAAATTACTATCCTTATATTAAGCATTCATTAAATATACATTTTCTTACTTGGGTTCAGTATGTCATTAAATTGTTTCTAAGGGCATCCCCAGTGGCACTGTGAGGCTGTCCGCAGCCTCCGCGTCGCCAGTTAGATTCCCAGCCAGCCAGGGAGATTCCCACATGGCGCGGCAGACCTCTCCTGTCTTGCCCGCTGCTCCCCTCAGCAGTATATTTCGTCAGTCTGCCTCTTCTGTTCCCTGCTCTGTCTCTGGTGAATTCTCTCACCCTCCCACGCATCTGGCCTATACACTGGTTCTTGTATAAATAAATAAATAAATCTTAAAAAAAAAAAAAAAAAAGTCCTCTGGCATGTGCTATGAGGCGTCTAAAGTCAGGGAGGGACATGGAGAGGGCCTCACAGATCAGCTCTGGCAGAGACTTAACCACAGTTGTGAGGAAGGTCTCAGGCACAGCAAACGCAGCGAGACCAAGGTTCCCACGGATGGGCTTGTTCAACAATTACTCAGGCACAGGTCCTTGTGTTGGTTCAAATACTCACATCAATTACCTTCCTACTACCTCCCCTAAACTACCTCCCCTAAAATCGGCTCTGCTGAGTATAAAACTGCCTCCTACTATTGATTTACAAAATATAGAGAATAATTAGAGACACTGGAGTCAAAGAAAAAGGAATCGGCACATCTGGGTAATGCCTAGACATGCTGTGACCTAAATACTACATTTCAGTAAGTAAGGGGATAGTCTAAAAAAACACGATGTCCATCCCTCCATTTTCAGATCAAAGGGGGTCCCTGCGAGAAGGGGTGTGCCAGGGTAAAATGATCCACCACTCACCTTCCTGGAGACGCTCCTGGTGGGTGCCCTTGACTTTTTTTTTCTGAATCTCCAACTGCTCCATCAGCAATTTGTTTTCCTCTAAAACCAGCTCTGCCTGAGTCTGAAGTTGCCGCCTACAAGGGAGTCACAAAATGAAACACTGCCGTTCGGGCACTGGGAGGTCAGAGAGCGCTCTGGGTCTAACAGGACGCGATTGATACACTGCAGGTCATGAATATCTGGTCGTGTCTTCATGTTCAACATGATCTTCACACAGTGAACGCTGCTGCTAGCAGTAGCAGTGAAGTGTGGATTATGAAATGTTGCAGTAAACTTTTCAAAAAGTAAAATTTCAAACAGACAAAAGCAGAAAGAACTGAATGATAAACTTCCATATCTATCACACACTCAGCTCCAGTCTCCAATGAAGCAATCTTGCTTCATTGGTGTAAACCTCTACTTCCTCAATCCACTGGATTATTCTGAATCCAGTATGATACGCTGACCTGTTTTCCAGGGTGCTAGTCAAGGAAGGCCCCTACAGAGACACACTAGGAACCCGATAGAAGAAAATCTAACTTCCAAAAAGGGGAGCCATGGCAACAAGCCTGGACGGTCCCCACTGTCACATCAATGAACACAGTCAGGGAGCCCAAATTTCTTGACTAGGCATTTGCAGCTGCTGGGTTGGATGAGCAGGACATGGCCTGCCCTTGAGGGGATCACACAGGAGAAGGAGACAGTTGAGGAGACACACAGGGAGGCACGGTGGGGCAGTGTCAGGTCAAGGAGGGTGTTTAGGCTGGGTCAGAAACTGAGACAATGCCTTCAGGAAGAACTGCTCAGAGCCATTTGAATAGGGCCCTAATGCATGTGTAGGAGTGCAGAAAGGGAATGGTAGGGGGCAGCATCATTGACAGGACAGAGTCAGGCAACATAGACTGGAAAGGGCTGGGTAGATGGAAGTCGGCTATGTAGGCCTCAGCCTGAGCTTTTTGTCTTAAAGCCCTTGAAGGAATGGGGAGGTAGAGGGAGGTTGGGAGGTGTTAATCTAAAAGAAGGTGTGACCTGAGTGGTTTGGGATGGGAAAAGTATCCTAGACAAATACGACCACAGAAAATAAATTTGGGGACAGCAAATACATTTCAGGCCTCAGAACCTATTTAGAATTTTGGAAGTTAATGTCTTCAAAATACAATTAGACCACTGTTCTGTAATTTCTTAGAAACACTCCCTTTTTTGCTAAAAAATAGAAAATGTAGTTGATTTAATAAATTTTATTCCTATTTTCTTTTTTATTGGTAAAATATCAGAAATACATCACCACTTGCCATTCCTCACTGGTAACTGGACTGCTCTTATTTAACTCTTGGTGTAATTCTTCATTTTCCTTTACCACCTCTTGGACTCGCATCTTAAACATTCTCATTTCCTCCTGGAAAGAAAAATTATGTAATTGTAACACACACATGAACAATACCTATATTCTTAGTTCTAATGTGGCCAAAGTCAGGTGCTGACAGCTTTTGGAAAAAGCCTCACAGTAGCAGCCCTAAACTCCTGCCACCAGCACCAGAGCCTACCCTCAAGAAGCTTAGAGTCAGGTGAGAAAACAAGACACTGGGCACGAGAGACAAATGCAGATTTTAAATATCCTAATTTGAGAGCATTTTCCTGTATCTGCCAAAATACTTAAATATTGAAATATTTTTTATTCTTAATAAGATTAAAAAGGGGGATAAAAAAGATAGAGATGGTCTTGCAAACACTAATTTTCCTTAGCTTAAAGACTCTGGAGGATAAACTAGAGATTTAAATGAAACTAAGAACCTGATGTCCTAATTCAAGTCCACTTTGGTGGGTCAGTGAGTGTGGAGGTTGGAGCTCCATTACAATCACAAGAAAGCCCCCCTAACCTGATGTCATCTGGCAATCCAGCTCCTTCGGTCATTAGCCCCAACTCAGGGACTGTTGCGAGGGGCTCAGCTTTCAACTTCTAACAGCCTGTGTTTAGTGTCTCTATTTATTCCAGGACACGTCTAAATATTCTTCTCCTAGCCCTTGGTGTGTGTGCTTATACTGTGACCTGTGGCTGAAGACAAAGACTGTTACAGGTGGAGCCCCCTGGAGGGGGTTGCTGGTGAGGAAAGATAGCCCCAGAAAAAAGGCAAACAAAATATCATATTTTGGGGTGGGGACTCTGACAAGAAATATAAGGAACTGCAGAAGCAGCCCCCAGGATTTTTCGGTATTTGGGATTCAGCGTTTGAGCATTCAGTGTTCAGGATTTAGTGTTTTCAGATCTTCAGCAATTCTGTGGTTAGCAATTTCTGTCCCCACCATGCAGATCTTCCAGAAAGCTGTTGTGGGCCTCTGAAGATTGTGGAGAGGCTTCTAGCAGCTAAACTCAGAGAGGAAAATTTCGAAGGCTTTGCAAGTAGCCGAGTGACTGAAACTGTTCCTGGTTTTGCTGCTGTTACAGCCTGGCAGAGAAGGTGAAGAAGGCCCAGAGTGGGCGCCTCACTGAGCTGCGTGAGTGTGGCCGTTTGTCAGGTTGTTCTGCTGCTGCAGCTGCTATCTTGAGTGTTGCTTGTCTGGTGCTGCACTGGGGCATCTTGGCAGCTCCAGGGAGCATCTCCTGTTGTGTCTTCTGTTGTCTTCGTGAGTTGGAACCTGCCCTATAGTCTGGCTGCTGCATGCTCCAGGTCTGCAGTGGCAGGAAGATACCATCTTTGGAATGTTTGTTTTTAGGAATGCTGGACACTGCTTCAGGTGAGGTAAATGGCCATTTTTAGCCTCAGTAATTCTTTGTTTTCCCTGGTTTGTTAAATAAATCCCATTTTTGTTGTTCTCCAAATCTGAGTAGTCTTGCAATTATGCATGGGGGTGAAGCACTCACACAGTAACTGATAAACTATTTGGGCAGTGTCCTTGGCCAGTTTTAGTGCCCCTTGCTGCCCTTTATCAATACCTGTTTAATGTGAAGCAAATATGCCAAGTACTTCTCCTCACTTTGCCGTCCTGCCCAGTACTCTCCCCCGTGGCTGGCAGCCCACTGGCTGCTTTCAGAGCAGGGTCAGGGAAAAGGAAGCCTACTATTTACTAAGTGGTCCTTTACAGAAAAGGTTCAGGTCCCGTTTTAGAAGGAGCATGGAATTAGCTATTTGATTAACCATTTGGATGATATTTAATGAACTACTGGAAGATTAAATTTAAACATTAAGTCTCCATGAGGAAGTCTAGAAGAAAAGGTGGAAGATGGCACTGTATGGGCCACAGACAGTGTCAGCGAAGGACATGCAGGGGATTCTGTAGAGACCCCTCGGCTAGGGATCCCAGAAAAACCAATACTTCTCTCCCTGGGTGCTTCTAATTCCAGAGATCTCTTTGGCCACCAAAAGGAAGAACACAGAGACAGGTAGCAGGGAAAGGCCTGGGGCCCGTCTACACATCTGCACAGACTTGGTATCCTGTTCATTAACATGAGCTCTGCTGCTGGAAGTGACCCCCATGAAACAGGTGGTGAATCAGAAATGAATATAAACCTCACTTCCTCCAGTTACTTCCTCACTTCTTCCAATTACTCCAAAACTGAGCTTCAGCTCTTCATAGAATTAAGAAGCATCCAGGCTGGCCCCTACGATATCCTTGGCTGACTACCTTACCATCTGTCTGAAGGCCCCGGCTGTAGTGTCTGTGGCTCCAGAGAACCAGGAAGAAGCGCCTCCCAGTGCTCCTTCTTTGCCTCCCCATATCCCAGCCCACCCGGGGCTGCTGGTCTGGAATCCTCTGGAATCCTCCAGACCCCTCTCACCTACCCACCTCCTCCTTCCTCCCTCCCTTCCCACCCTGATATACTCCTTCCTTCCTCCAGCCAACATTTAAGCACCTACCAGATGCTGGACATCCCTACCTTCAAAATGTTTCTTCAGAGTTTGAAAACAGTCTTATATTTTGTAAACTTTGTCTCTTCTAGATACCCTATAGACAGGAGAAAATATTTGCATTCTATACAACTGATAAGAGACTGATATCAAACATCTACAAATAGCTTACACAACTCAACAAAAACAAATAACTCAGTCAAAAATGGGCAGAAGAGCTAAAAAGACACTTCTCCAAAGAGAAATGCAGATGGCCAACAGGCATATGAAAAAATGCTCAAATCACTGATAATCAGGGAAATGCAAATCAAAACTGCAATGAGATACCACCTCAACCCACTAAGGATGGCCCACGTTAAAAAAAAAACTGACAACGACAGATGCTGGCGAGGATGTGGAGAAAAAGGAACCCTCTTATGCTGCTGGTGGGAATGCAAACTGGTCGAACCACTATGGAAACTGTGTGCAGGTTCCTCAGAGCACTAAAAATGGATCTACCCTATGATCCAGCAATTCCACTCCTAGGAATTGATCCAAAGACACTAATTTGAAAGGAAACCTGCACTCCTATGTTTGCTGAAGCATTATTTACAATTATGAAGATAAGAAAATGTGGTCTATATATACAGTGGAATACTACTCAGCAAGCAAAAAAAGATAAACTCCTGCTATTTGCAACAACATGGATGGAGCTGGAAAGGATAATGACCAGTGAAATAAGTCAGAAGAAAAAAGAAAAATATTGGATGATATCACTTATAGGAGGAACAGGGAAACTGAACAAAGGGTCAAAAAAAAGGACAAAAGTGGTAGGCAACTATAGATCTGAGTCTTAAAGCAGAGGAGGGGGAGAAAAAGGGATTGCAACAGGGAAGAGAAGAGCACAAAGGACCATAGTGACAGTTCACAGGTGACGTGCTGGTGGGAAATTTACGGGGACTACACCTGAGGGTAGAAATCAAACATTGTACAAAAAGGAACAGCAATGTAAAAAAATTTAAAAATTAGACAAATGACACATTTGTCAACATACCTGGAGGGTGGCATTGAGCTCGTCCTTCTCCTTCATTCTGTCTTCATAAGCCAGCAACAAGGGTGACAGGTACTTCATATCCAGCTGAACATAATGTAGTAAAGAGGATCAGCACATTTCTAATACCCACACACAATCAGCAACTTTTTAAAAAGCAAAGAAAACACAACATGGAGTGGCTTTTAATAGCCATTCAACTATATCACAGGAAATATGGGCCTGAAATTAAATAACCTTCACTTACCAACCAGGGTGGTGTAGGGCCTTTTGATGGGAGGCCATCCATATTTAAACACTATGAACAAAACACACGTGAAGACAAATTAAACAATACTTCCTCTAAATTTCAAGCCTTAGGTATTCTTAATCCAGACCTTGCATTAGCATCTATAAATCTATATTTATTTATATGTGCATGTATATGAGAACTTTTTTCTGAAATGTTTGAGAATACAGATACAATGCTCTTTTTCTTCTAAACACTTCAGTGTCTATTTCCTGAAAACAAAAACATTCATTTACTCTACCACAGAACCATCATGAAAATCAGGATAGCAACAAAGGTACGATTCTATTTTCTAACTTGTTGACTATATTCATATTTTACCTATTTTCCACTAATATCCTTTTCTGATAAAGCATCCAATCCAGAATGATATGTTGTGTTTGACTTCCATGTCTTTTCAGACTTTTAACATCTGAAACATAATTTTTAATTGGATGCTTATACTTTTTCCATGTTATTTTTGAGTGTTTGGATTTTGTTGTTTTCCTTTAAAGAGTGATTTTCCCCCTCTCTTTTTGGCAGACTCTGAAGTTGCTTGTGTATCTGAAGCTTTTGTGACTTGTTTTGACCCTGGCTAGGGCGGGTCTATGGTGACCCTTACCAAAGGCTAGTTGAGACACACCACTGAGGTACAGCCCTTCTGGACTCTGTATTCAATGCTGCAGCATTCAACAAGGTCTCCTCATTGTGGCTGGTCAGAACCCAAGGGTTCGCAGTGCTGTGTGAGCTCTGAGAATTATTCAGCTCGTAGTTCCCTGAACTTGTTTTCTTCCTAGCTGGTCACAGTGGGGATGGGGTAAATGGGGAGTTTTTGCTAACACATGGGGGTGCTCCCATGCCCATTTCAAAACTGCTTCTTTGTCGGCTATGGAAACCCCATTGCTGCCAGGGTGAGCTGATGGGAGGGCCTGCAAAACCAGACAGCTTTCCTTTCCGAGCTTCTGCATGAGAAGCAGCAGCTGTAACCTGGAGGAAGAGGCTGAGAATAGAGCCGCCAACACGGACATTCACTCTTTATATACTTCTGCATTATCCCAAGTTTTAAATAGAGCCTTTACTGCCTTTGCTATGAGAAGGTGAGGAAGGGAGGGAGGGAGAGAAGTAGGGAGAAAAGGAAAGAAGAGCAGAAACCAAAAAGTCCCTAAAAAAACTACTTTGGATATATCTTTTTAAGCCAAATTGTAATAAAATCCCCTCAGGACTGGAGATCAACTCAACAGTAGAGGCTAAAAACTGCATTTACTTAATTGGAAACCTTACCTCTTCCTTGGATAAATGCCTGAATTTTGTTTGGTATCTACTCAATTCCACATTCAAACGATGGACGGTCATTTTCAACTCGTCGTTTTCATCCACCAGTTGTTGGGCTTGTTTTCTTAGATAAAGTAACTCAGGTGCATCAGCTTTGAAAAAAAGTTAGTATTATAAGAAATTGTATGAAACTGTTCAAGATTTTATATGAATTGCTAACCAACCTTTTATTTTTTTCTTTCCCTTTTAGGCTCACGGGGGCAGTGAATGACAGATATACGGGTATAAATGAATAAAAGTTACTAAGTTTTTAAACACTGAAGAGTCAACACTATATTGAAAGTTTGTGGAAGTTTTTGCATGTGCAATTAAAGTAAAATGGAAGGAAAAGGCACTGTAACATGATAGTCAAATGAATGCCTTGAAAGTCATATAAATTGAAAATGTATTACAATATCTTTCCTCATAGTAACAATGCCCCATCTGATTACATAACAGCATATAGAGCCCACAAAGTAACAGTACAAATAATATAAAGTATCTAGAAATAAATATGTCTAAGACAAGAAATATACAAGGTCTATGTGAAAAAAACTAATGACCTATCACCTTTTAAGCTCATAGTACTAGTATTATATAAATATGTAAATTATTATTTGTATTATTCATACAATATATTCACACAACATATAACTGATAAGGGATTAATAACCAAGGTACATAAAAACACAAATTCAACAACAAAAATTCAATAAACAGAGACCAGATATGCACAGACAATTCACCAAAGAGGATACTCAAAAGGCCAAAGACATGAAAATGTCCATCATCACTCCTAATAAGAGATGCAGCTTATAACTAGAATGAGAGGCCACCTCACACCTGTGAGAAGGGTACATATTAAAGAGACACCCCCACCCAACATGTGCTGGAGAGATGTGAAGAAAAAGGAACCCAGTTACACTGTTGATGGAAATGTGAACTAGTGTAACCATTATGGAAAGCAATCTGGGTTTACCTTAAAAAAACTTAGAAAAATAATCTAAAAATGGAAATCTTGGACATTTATCTATATACTATGAAACCATCAACAAAAAAACGCATAGTTTCACAATATGCACTGCAGCATTACTTACAATAGCTAAGCCCTGAAATGGTCTACATGCCACTGACAGATGACTGGATCAAGAAAATGTGGTATAGACACACCATGGAATATCATATAGCCATAAGAAAGGATAAAATGCAGCCATTTTCAACAAAATGGAGGGAATTTGAGAGAATTATGTAGGGCAAAGTAAATCAGAATATTAAAAAAAATACTGGAGATTCCCACACAGACAATTTGATAATGTACAAAATTTTCAAAAATTAGTAGATTTCAATACACATCCTGAGGATTCTGAAGTTAAGGGGGCAAGGGAGAGACAAGATACATGAGATGGTGGTAGGGGAAAAATATCTTTAAAATACTGATCAAAAAATAATAAATAAAAATAAAATCCTTAGGGGACTCCATGGTGGCCTAGGGGTTCAGTCTCAGCGCTGTCACTGCTATGGCTTGAGGTCAATTCTGGGCCAGAGAGCTGACCTACACATGGTGAAGCAGACCTCTCCAGTCTCACCCGCTGTTCCCCTCAGTAGTGTATTTCAGTAGATCCACCTGTTCTGTCTCTGGTGAATCTTCTCATACCCCTGTGCCTCTGGCCTACACCCCAGTTCTTCTATGCAAAAATAAATAAAAATTAAATGCTTTTCACAGTACTTTGCAAATAACTGTACAGTTGCTCAGAAAATCCTAACTTTTATTAGTAAATATTCAAACAATTTCTGTATTACCAATTTTCTCTCTCACTGATTATTAGATTATTAACTCCATTTCTCAGATGTGGAAGTTTTATTGACTTGTTCACATAATAGCGTGCCACAGACAGAAGCCAGTTTTTCTGGCTTAGGGCTTTGCAAAGTGTGTTCTGGCATCGCCTGGGAGTGTGAGAGAAATGCGAGTTCTTGGGCCCTGTCTGTCAAGTCAATCTCTGGAGAGGGAATCTAGAAAACTAGGTTTTAACATGCTCACCAGGTAATTTGGGCATATTAATGTTTAAAAGGTAGTTATGTGAACTCATGATTCAAAACCCTTTCATGTTTGGCACACTCCAGCTTCAAACTGAGACAGCATACTGGAGAATCTAATCTGAAACTAATCAGATTGGACTGACCACTTTGGGGCCCATTAAAAACCAAAACAAGGCAAAAGCCAAGCATTAGAATATTATTCTTTTTTTTTTTTTAGAATATTATTCTTTAGCACAGCAATAAGGGTTATTATTCAACAACATAAGGGATTAATGAAAGAAATTAAATAGTGTAACACAAAATATCAACAACATTAATATCAACCTCTACTACAACATAAACCATTAACTCTGAAAATACAAAAATAAAGTGAGTTAAAGCAAAAGAGACAGTAACCAAAACAAAGAGAAACCCCACTGATTGGGAGAAAATTTTTGCACACAACACTAATGATAAAGGACTGATCACAAAAATCTACAAAGAGCTGATGACTCAACAAAAACAAAGTAAATAATCCAGTCAAAAAATGGGCAAAAGAGCTAAAAAGAAACTTCTCCAAAGAGGAAATACAAATGGCCAACAGGCATATGAAAAAATGTTCAACATCACTTGTAATCAGGGAAATGCAAATCAAAACTACAATGAGATACCATCTTACACCAGTGAGAATGGCACATATTAAAAAATCTAGCAACAACAAATGTTGGCAAGGATGTGGAGAAAAAGAAACTCTCCTGCACTGCTGGTGGGAGTGCAAAATGGTCCAGCCGCTATGGAAAGCTGTGTGGAGATTCCTCAACCTGCTAAAGATGAAGCTTCCATATGATCCAGCAATTCCACTCCTAGGTATTTACCCAAAGGACACAGAAACATTCATTCAAAAGGGCACCAGCACCCCTATGTTTATAGCAGCACTATTTACAATAGCTAAGCTATGGAAGCAACCCAAATGCCCAAGATTAGATGACTGGATCAAGAAGATGTGGTACTGGGCCTCCCCGGTGGCGCAGCGGTTGAGCACTGGGTTGCGAAGCTGCCCGCGGCCTCGGCGGCGCCGGTTCGATCCCCGGCTGCTCCCCGGCCACCAGCGAGGGTCCCACATGGCGCGCAGACCTCTCCTGCCGCCCGCTGCTCCCCTCAGCAGTGTACTTCGGTCCTTCTGCCTGCTCTGCTTCCCGCTCTGGCTCTGGTGAATTCTCTCACCCTCCCGCACTTCTGACTGTACCCAGTGCATGTATAAACAAAAACAAACAAATAAATAAATAAATAAATAAACATGCCTCTATAAAAAAAAAAAAAAAAAAAAAAGAAGATGTGGTACATATACACCATGGAATATTACTCAGCAATCAAAAAAGATAAACTCATGCAATTTGCAGCAACATGGATGGAGCTGGAAGGGATCATGCTCAGAGAAATAAGCCAGAAAGAAAAAGAAAAATACCAGATGGTCTCACTCATAGCAGGAAATTTAGAAAACCTAAATAAGGGACCAGGAAAAAGACTAATTATAATAAAGTAAAAATCAAAATCAATAAGCAACTATAAACCAGAGACACACTACGGGGGGGAGGAGGGAGTAGGATCAAAACAAGCGGGAGTGGGGGGGAATTGTATGGTGACTATAACCAAGATGAAAATGCATACATTGTGCAAAAATGAAAAATGATATAAAAAAATATATAAAATTTAAAAAATAATTTAAAAAAGAAAGTGAGTTAAGGGCCTCCCTGGTGGCGCAGCGGTTGAGCGCTGGGTTGAGAAGCTGCCCACAGCCTCTCCAGCGCTGGTTAGATCCCCGGCCGCTGGGCGAGGGTCCCACATGGCGCTCAGACCTCTCTTGTCGCCCGCTGCTCCCCTCAGCAGTGTACTTCATCAGTCTGTCTGTTCTGCTCCCCACTCTAGCTCTGGTGAAGTCTCTCACCCTCTGGTGCTTCTGACTGTACCCAGTGCTTTTATAAATAAATAAATAAATAAGTCTTTAAAAAAATAATGATAATAAAAAAAAAAAGAAAGTGAGTTAAGTCCTATTTGTTCCTTTAATAAAAGAAACTTGTAGTTGTTCCTACCTTCTTGAGAAGATGTTTTCTCAGCTTCTTTCAGCCTCCCTTTTTCTTTTTCTGTTTTCTTCAGTTTTGATTGTAGCTCTTTCATCGCTTGTTTTATTACGTTAAGTTCAAGAGTAAGGGATTGATTTGTGTTGCGTAAGTGCAAATTTTCTTCTTTTAATTGCTGGAACTTTTCTTTGGTTATTTCCATACATCTTTGACGTGTTCTCCCAGTTAAATCTGAAAAGATACAGGGGATTTTATTGCAAAAATAATGTAAGTAGCCACAAGTCAGGCCTTATGCTTTGTTCTAGTTCTGGAGAGAGAATAGCAGGTGCCTGATGCAGGGGAGGTTGCGTGTCTGAGATCTCAGGGGGAGAAAGGATGAGAGGGGAGGGTGGTGCTGAGTGAGAGCAGGGGTTTCATTCTGTAGCCACTAGGAACCAGAAAAAGGTTTTTGAGCAGAGGTGTTGTACCAGAGTGATCCCCAGGGAAAGAGGTTCGAGGTGCCCTGCCCCAAACAAGGAAGTGTGGGGCTGAGCAGGGAGAAGGAGCAAGCGCAGCAGCAGAAGTGGAGAGAGATGGAGATGAGGAAGGAGAGCTGGGGGAGCACATGGAGCAGAGAGACACCTGGAGACACTATGTTGCTTCTCGATCTTGGACTTATACAGGGACCTGGGGGTCATGGAAGGAGACACTTGAAACAGATCTGGGTGAAAGACTCACAGGGAGGTTAACAGTGGTGGCCTTTATCTTGATTCTAATTTTGCTTTTTTCCTTTCAGACTTTTCTGACCCCTTCTGCCCCAGTCTTATGGGTCCCCACCAGAAGATGCTTCAAATGTGTGGCAGGTTTTCAGGTCTCAGTTGCCTGGCTTTGGGCCTACTCTGTTTGGCTGGGCATTTCCCTAGGAGGGGATAAGTAACTTTGGGTGCTTGATCTGGAAACTATTTTATCTATTCTTTCCCTTCCCTTTATTGCACACTAATTGTATTAAAGTTCCTTTCTAGGTTTTATGCACTAGAATTATTTTTTGTGTTGAAGTGGCAGATGGAAGAACACATTTATTGATAGAACAGGCAGGTTTGGAGGCCCTGGGGTGCTCCCTTATTCCCTGTAACAGTGTGAAAATGAACAGGCTGCACTGTCAGATGGATGCCTCAGGGTGAAAGGGAACTGGAAGGAGACCCAGAGACAGGGAGTCCAGTCCAGGGCTCTGAGGGCAGTGCTAGCATGGGGAGGGGGCAGAGACACCTGAGAGATGTATCGGGGCTACCCAGCTAACTGGCTATGAGCCAGCAGGAGACTCAAGGATGAGCGTCAAGATCTGTAGCTTAGAAGACAAGGAGCACAAATGAGCGGCTGCAGTCGGCTTAGTCGAGGAGACAGGCCCAAAGCTCTGGAGACAGCCTCAGCTGGAGACTGAGGAGCCTGCAGTGAGTGGGGGCACCTGCAGGCACCAGGGAGAGGAGAAAGCCAGAGGTCACGAAGGAGTGTTAAGATGTAAAATGTTGGCAGAAAACAGAAAGGTGCTCAGAGAGGTTGTGAATTTTTTAAGCCAAAACTGTCCCAATGACAGTCAACAATGAAAAGTCCCAATGAAAAGTCAACATTTGCTGCCTCTTCCCAACTTTCCAGTAATGGGGCAGCTGCGACAAGGTTTACCAGGGTAAAATAGGGCTCTTTACCTTATTCTGGGCATTCTCTCCAACAATAAGCTTTTTAATCATAATGAAATTGAAAGGAGATACCTGGGGAGGGCGGAGGTTTGTCACGTAACGGTGGCCTGGCATCCTAGAAAAGAAAAGCAGTAGAGGGAGGCAGTGAGAGAGAGTGCAGGCAGTGCCCGAGAGCAGACTGGCAGCTGGGACACTATGGACCGAGCACAAAGCACTTTTTTCTGCTCATTTTGGCTCTGCAGTTCTGAGTTTGTTTCAGCTCTAGAAACTTCAGTAGTCACTGTCTCTTTTAACTTAAGGGTCTTCCCCTCTTGGGGGCTCTCTGAGGCAGGAAGGGCGTGTGCTCCCTGCATGCCTTTTGGCCCATGGGGTCAGTCATTGTGTCCCCATAGGTCCCAAGGGTGACAGGGCCTCGTTAACACTCTAAAGTGTGTCACCCACTGTGAGTGCTGAGTGGAGACACCCAAAAACATCCCACAGACTGCAGGTCAGCATGATTTCAAAGTGCTGAGAAAAGAATCTATAAGAGCTTTCTTTTCAACTCAAAACTTACAGGAAAGAGAAGCTTTTGAATTGTTAATTTTCCCATTACACTTCAACCTGATTTTTTTCTGCTATAAAAATAGATAAGGTTATAAATTTACTGAGAGCTAACAGTCTACTGAGAAATCTGTAATTTTTAATTCTTATGACATTGCAGAATTAAAAAACAAAGTCAGAACGATTTCCATGTTTGCAATTATCTATTCATTCTACAAATTACTGAAGTAATTCCTAACCTCTTGATAGATTACATGCATTTTTAAACTATGGAAAACAGGAGTTCTTTCAAAAGAAATATTCAGTGGGGAAGAACCCTTAAAGAAAGTCCCCTCTACCCTCCCCCAAGTCACAAAAATGACTTTAAAATGATGGTGGAAATTCTACTTGTTGAGAAAACCAGATTTTAAAAAATAATCTTACCTTTGAACTCAGAGCACGTTTATCATCTGATTAAAAAAAATAAAAAATTTTAAAGTAAATGAAGATATTTGACAACTCAGAAGAGTGTAATCATAGCAAGTCACCTCCAGAAGACCTAGGCAAGGTCAGGGTGGCCACAGCCTTGTGAGGTCACAGGTCATAGGGCAAGCAGGTCCCAGAGCAAGGCATCTCGGTCTCTGTTTCTGTCTCTGTGTCTCTCCATCTAGTTCATCCTGAGCACCTCCAGGGCATCACATGATTACAGAACCAAGGCTGAAGGGCTCCTGTGGGGCTCCCCACCCCCACCATGCTTTCTTCACACCTTCCACCAGCCACTCCCCTCACGGGCTAAGGTTTGACTACCCTCTGCCTACCTGCCTGGACTAGCATCCAACTTGGTCAGAAAAGCAATGGTTCCTTGAAGCAAGTGCTGTAACAAAAATAACCCTTGCCCAGTTTACTCATTTTCAATTTACAAATACACATTCATAATCCAGGTGCCCCACAGCGAGAGCTGCTTATGCCCCAGCTTGCCTGTAACCTTTGAGTGAAAGGTTAGACACCTGGGTTGCTTTTTAATTTTCTACAATTAATTTGCAGAGCAGAAATAATATACCAAAAAGAACCTAGAAGTAAATGCACAAAAAATAGGAAAAAACCCTACAGAATTAAAAAAAAAAAAAAAATAAGGCAAAAAAGCTTTAAGATACCTATAACATGGTAAATCCACTTCCTGGCTCATTCCCATCACCAATACCTGAACAACTTACCACTGAAGAGCTTATCTTTGACCAAGAAATCACCTTGATCCACTATTTTTTACCAAATTGCTTTCAATCAAATGTCCTGGGGCAGCCTGGACTGGGCACCTGGTGGGACCCCATGTTGTCCAGCCTAATGAATACCTCTCCTGCTGCCTGCTCTAACCAGCAGCAATGGGAGCCCTACTCCTGGGCTCTGTGCTTGCCTCTGCTGCCCCTCAGTACCCCAGAGCTCCCCACAGCACCCCAGATGGTACAGCTTGCCTTCTGCACACTCTCCTGGCAGCTGGAATTCAAGGGTTGGGCCCTCGGCTCTATCATCTCTGGCACAGAGCAGGCGAGGAAAAGCCTACCTCTGATCAGCAACTGTTTAAGCTGAAGCAAAAAAAAAAAATTCCTTTTCTAGTGACTTGTCCTAGTTTTGCTCTGGTATCCTCAGATCGACTGCCTTCATATTGAATAGAACCTTCAGAACCCCCTTATATTCTTCACAAAAATAAAGCTGGGGAGGAGCAGGGGGTTAAAAGAATGGCAGGGGCCTCCCTGGTGGCTCAAGGGGTTAAGCACCGCACTATGAAGCAATCTGCAGCCTCTGCAGCACGAGTTCAATCCCTGGCCAGCCAGGGAGCAACCCACATGGCGCAGCAGACCTCTCCTGTCTTGCCCGCTGCTCCCCTCAGCAGTGTACTTCGATCAATCTGCCTGTTCTGTTCCCCACTCTGTCTCTGGTGAATCCTATCATCCCCCCTCCCCCCCCCCAACCCTGCATCTCTGGGCTTGTACCCTAGCTCTTGTATGCATAAATAAATAAATCTTTAAAAAAAAAAGAAGACGAAGAAGAAGAAGAATGGCAAGTGCGTCAACTTTGGAAGCTGGGAGCCCATTTATGGTTCTCTCTCTTTTTGTATAAGTTTGGAAATAATCATAATAAAATGTTTTTAAAGGGCGATTCACCTATTTCCCCAAGAAAATAATACCTATTTTATTTTACTCATAACTCTCAAAGAGAACCTGACAAGGATAAAACTCTAAACTGACATCATCCTTATTTGCTTTGGCTTAAGACGCAGGCACAGGCTGCCTGCTATGAGGTAGAGGGGGTGTGAAGAAGACAGAATTGCTGAGGAACCAACAGCTCCCTCCCCAGCTAGCACAGGGCACCTGAGGAAAGTAGCAGCCTGTCTTTTCTGTTTGATCATTTCCCAGAAAGATTTCCAGGGCCTCCCTGGTGGCCTAGGGGTTAAGTTTCAGCACTATCACCACTGTGGCCTGAGTTCGATCCCTGGCCAGGGAGCTGACCCACAAGGCGCAGTAGACCTCTCCTGTCTCACCTGCTCCTCCCCTCAGCAGTGTATTTCAGTAGATCCGCCTGTTCTGCTCCCCATTCTGTCTCTGGTGAATCCTCTCACACCCCACACTTCTGGCCTACACCCTAGTTCTTCTACACAAAACTAAAATAAAAAAGAAAGATTTCCAGGGCCTCCCTGGTGGCACAGGCGGTTGAGCACAGCGCTGTGAAGCTGTCAGCAGCCTCTGCAGTGCTGGTTTGATCCCGGCTGGCCAGAGAGGGTCCCACATGGCGCAGCAGACCTCTCCTGTTGTGCCCTCTGCTCCCTTCAGCAGTGTAGTTCATCAGTCTGCCTGTTCTGTTCCCCGCTCTTTCTCCAGTGAATTCTCTCACCCTCCCATGCATCTGGCCTGTACCCCAGTTGTATAAAATAAATAAATAAATCTTTAAAAAAGAAAGAAAGAAAGATTTCCAGAGTCCTCACCTTTTTTTTTTTTAAAGATTTATTTATTTTTATACAAGATCCAGGGTACAGGCCAGATGCGTGGGAGGGTGAGAGGATTCACCAGAGACAGAGCGGGAACAGAACAGGCAGACTGACAAAATACACTGCTAGAGGGAGCAGAGGGAGAGACAGAAGAGGTCTACTGCGCCTTGTGGGATTCTTGCCAGCCGGCGGGGATCGAACCAGCACTGCAGAGGCTGCGGACAGCTTCACAGTGTGGCGCTCAACCCACTACGCCACCAGGGAGGCCCAGAGTCCTCACCTTTCTTATCTCTACTTATCTTACTTATCTTATCTCTCTATGGGCGAGTGGAAAAAACTATTAAAATGACAAAAAGGGGAGCCTATATTGGTGATTTTACTGCACACATGAAGCCCTGCTAGGTACTGTCCCAATGTTTAAAGAAAGAAAACACTACCAAACACATTCTTGCTGTAAGAGTCTAACAATACAGGTAACTCAAAACTCTCCCGTGACCTTTCCAGGAGGTGGCATGGTTATACCCCAGGTATGCTTCCTTTCATACACATCATCATACACATGCGCCCACCCCACACCCTTTCCCACTCCTATGTAACACGATAGATGGCAGGAAGGGGAGCAGCATGTACAAAGGCCCAGTGGCAGGCGAGGAAATAAAAGAGCACCAGCACGGCTGGAGAATGGTGAGGGGCCACTGAAGAGACGCTAAGTGAAAAAAGTGAAGGGGTGCATGCGGGGGCAGACAGGGACACTACAGCTTTGAACACTGCACAAACCACAGCAGGTGCCCTGCATGGAGACTGGCTGAGTGAACGACTCCAGAATCAAACAGCAGGCAGAGGGGTTAAGCGGTCATGAGATGGTTGAAGCCTGGACCTAACACACATAAGTCACACCAGGAGCAGAGGGCAGGCAGCAACTGCTTAGAAAAGAAATGAAAAGGGTCCAGACTGAGCCATGAAGAACCCCAACATTTAATGGGCAGGCAGATAAGCCTGCAGAGGAACCGAGGCATGAGCACAGAGGCAGGAGGGACGAGGTGAGAGACCTGGTGAAGCCAGGGTGAGAGGGGCTGGGAGACAGCAAGAGCACTGGTCTGTGTGGATGTGCCTGGGGAGCTGGAAAACCCACTGGGCTGAGCAGTATCGAGGTCACTGGACTGGGGGAGCAATGGAGGAAGCACCAAACTGGAGTGGGCTAAGGAGACCCTGTCAGTGAGGTGGGGGGAGAAGGTGTGAGTGATGAGCCCGGTTTGGCTATGGAGGGAGAAGAGAAGGCGCCAGTGGATACTGAAGGGAGGGGAGGAGGAATCCAAGAGCAGGCACGGGGCAGTTCTGACCCGGGACGGTCCCCTGACCACAGGGCTGCAGTGTCAGGCCGAGGCTGTAGCCTTTAGACAACTACGAATACACCCGAAGGCTCCATGCTCTGCGTGTATGCCTGGACTGAGCACTTACAACAATCTGTACACTCAGAGCGCATAATGCTTTAACTCAGCCACCCCTCTCATCATCTGGAAATCAGGCAAAAGCCAAACCACTAGAGCCAGGATTTCTAATGTGATGTCCAAGGATCGCCCACTCCAGACTGTCCAAAGCGCTTGTTCAAAATACACATCTCTAGGGCCTCCCTGGTGGCGCAAGGGGTTAAGACGCAATGCAACCTATGAAGCAATCCACAGCCACTGCAGCACTAGTTCGATCCCCAGCCAGGGAGCAACCCACATGGTGCAGCAGACCTCTCCCGACCTGCCCGCTGCTCTCCTCAGCAGTGTATTTCAGTCAATCTGCCTATTCTGCTCCCCACTCTGTCTCTGGTGGATTCTCCCACCCCCCACGCCTCTGGCCTGTACCCCAGTTCTTGTATGCATAAATAAATCTTTAAAAAAAAAAAGAGAGAGAGAGAACTCTGGATTTAAAAAAGAAAAATAAAGAAAAAGAAAATATACACCTCTAGGCCTCAGGCCTGAGCTGCTGAAATCAGATTTAGGGGCAGGTGCCGGGTCTTTTTGACAAGTGTCCAGGGGCTTCTAATGCCCACTACAAACCAAGGACACACTGCTCTCCCTCCCAACTACTGTGTTCCAAGTTCATGTCACCCCATGTGCCAGTGATCATGGCCTCCCAGCTCCACCCCCACACTCACTGCAGTATTTCCATCCTACAGGCTGGGTGGGACAAGCTGTCAGTAGAGGGGGCTAGAGAGATGCTGGCCAGAGTCCTTCCTCTATTCTGCTCTTCTCCCTCCCCCCTTTTTCTAAGCAGCCAGGAGCGCTTCCCCAAGGGTGACTTCTCCTGGTACCACCCCAGAGAGGGCAGTTTCCCAGCGAGAGTTCTGTTCGGACAGTGCAGCTCACTGCTCTGCCAGGCAGCAGGCCACCCGCAGCGGGCCTCTCCCACCCCTGCCTCTCAGCCAGGGGAAGTCCCACATGCTTCCTCCCTTCCAAGCTCTCGCTAACTGCAGAGGGATACATTCTTCTGCTATCCCTGATTTCGTCAGAATTCTCTCTGCCCTTTAGCAGCAACCCGTGCATGAGTTAGTAATTCTTGTGTTCTGTCTCCTGATGGGATCCCGACTGTGCCGAGGCCCTGGCTGCACAGACGTTAGGATGGCTGGACACATACAACAGAGGAAGACAATGGGATGTGTCGTGAGATCATAAAGTCAACATTTGTAAATGTGGACACTCTAAATTGTTAGAAGTATTATCTGTGGGAGTATAATTATGTTTATCTATTTCTACCTTTGAGTTTTATTTTATAGGGAGAAAGTATTACTTCTTAAATTAAAAAAGGAAAATACTTTTACATGAGCTTAATCTAAATTCTCCCAAAAGGATAAAAAATGCCACCTAAAAAATAAAAAATGAAATAAAATATGCCTCCTAACCAATTGTCATTTTCTGGCCTAGGCATTACTAAGCTGGAATGCAGTTTTCCAATCAGTCATCTTGTGAACCGATTACAGGAGAGGCTCCTTGGGCCCAAGCCACCCCGAGGCCCCTCACAAAGCAGTAATTGGCACCTCTTTATACCAGGCACTTCTTCACTTCTCAAACATAAGCCAACTGTTAGGAAACTGAAAACTCCTATCTCTGCTGCTATGCACTCAATTCCCTCACTGTGCCAGGCCACACATGAAGACGGTTCCATGTGGTTTCAGAGTTCTATATCACAAGCCTGAGCACTCATCTATTCCACAAGCCTTTAGTGAGGGCCCACTCAAGAGCAGGCCCTGCAGCAGGATTTGGCCAGCCTCACTGGCCCAGTCTGTGGAGACTGCCACAAGCCGGCCGGGCAACACCAGGCACCAGAGGCAGAGGGAAGGAGCATGTAGAGCTTCCGCACCTGAGTCAGAGCCTCTTCCTCAGCCTGCCCTTTTGGGGTTGACAGAAACAGACATGTGAGCACAACCTCGCATCCAGGAAATGGACAGGGGAATGACTCATCTTCAGTGGAAATGAAACTCAGGAATATGCCTGCTTACAATCATGGAACCAGTGTGGAAGTGCAGTGGCATCTGTGTCCCCCATTAACAGATATTATAATCACAAAATGCTTCTATATTTTAAAGATAATGCCGTTTCTTGTTTGTTTTTACCTTTTTCTTGTGTGCGTAGTAATGTATGAGATGAATCTGGAGGCCCATCTTGCTCTGAAACTTCTTCCTCATCTTCACTGTCTGCTCCGTGTAACAATGGAAACTTCTGATACAAACGACAAAGCAGCAAACATATGACAAATGCTATTTGTGTCAAATGTCCTCCTAACAAACCCAAATATTTTATTCCATGTTTTCCCAAATGCCACCCACTCCCCTCCCAAATACAAAATGATTACGCCTGGCAGGACTGGATGAAACCTTGAGGTCCCCCAAGAAAGCCCAGTGGCAAACGTGATGGCTCTCTCAATTTTAAGCAGAACACCAAGAGCTTCACACCAGGCTCCTTGGCAGCTTCCCTTCTTCATCCCTGCTGGGGACAACCCAGGGAAAGGAGTTGCCTCTGGCCTATTCCGCGCAGACCCAATGCCACCCCACCCCACCCCTCTCCAGATGCCAGGTTGCTTGTCTCTACATGGAATGAAATGTGAAATGTGGACCCAGTCACTGCCAGGGCAGATCGCAGGCACACGGAAGTGCCCTTTCAACTCGCCATTTTACATCAGGGACCCTTTGCGTCCGTTCATCCATCCAAACACAAGTAGACTGCGTGGAGCTGAGAAAGGGATGCCCCCACAGCCAGAGATGAGCTGAAAAGCCCTCACAAGCCAGGCCCCATTTGGCCATTGGAGCCCAGAGGGGGATCCAGTCACTGCTGGGGCAGACTGCGAGCGCACAGAAGTGCCTTCCCGACTAGCCATTTTAGACCAGGGACCTTTTGCGTCCACCCAGAACACACCTAGACTGCGTGGAGCTGGAATAGGGCTGCCTCCACAGCCAGAGGTAAGCTGAAAAGCCCCCACAAGCCAGACCCCATCTGGCCACCAGTCAGAGCTCAGAGGGGGATCCAGCGATTTGGAGCCTAGCAGGCTATCCTGCCACCACAGGACAGTGTGTGGGACCACAAGATCAACCTTGGAATTAAACAAATACAGAAGGGGGAGATTCTCTGTGACAGTGACCACTAACATATTCATAGTTCCACTGCCCTACTGGATTTCTGACACAACAGTTTTTGACTCGATTGGACCACCACTTTCTAACATCCCAGAAAGAGCACACCAAAAAGATGCCAGCCAGTACCAGCTACACAGTATCCCAACACATAGGGCAAATTAGAAAACAAGCAGCAGGGAGAAGAAAAACTACAAGCAACCAAGCAAATCCTCAGGGAAAAGACACATCATAAAAAGAAAATCACCCAAGAATGCAACAACAGTGACTTGGAAAAATTTCTGAGCCTTCCAGAAAAAGAATTTAAAATTGCCATGATTAAAAAACTGACAGAAGTCATAAAAGGAAACATGATAAGGGAAAAATAATCAATGATCAGAAGAATGAGATTGAGTGCCTAAAGAGGGAAGTGAAAGAAATGCAGGAGATCAAAGGATTAATGGAGGAGCTAAAGAACTCTGGGAAAAGCAGTGAAAGCAGAACAGATGAAATGGAAGAACAAATAAGTACTCTCGAAGACACAGAAATAAAAAGAACCAAAACAGAAAAGGAAAGTGAAGTACGAAAGAAAAAGAACGAAGAAAGACTTCGGGAACTATCTCACTCTATGAGGAAAGGAAATATAAGATTTATAGGAATCTCAGAAGGAAAGGAGACTTAGGAACAGAGAAAATATTCAAGGAAATAACTGAAGAGAACTTCCCAAACATGAAGAAGGAACTGAAAATATACATACGAGAATACGAGAAGCAAGAAGAACACCAAACTTCCATGATGAAAGGAAAAAAACAGCAAGACACATAATAGTAAAGCTCCCAAGAATTAAAGGCAAGGAAAAAAATAATGAAGGAAAAAATAATGAAAAGGAAAAAATAATGAAGCTGACAAGAGGGAAGAAACAGACAACATACAAAGGAAAACCAATCAGGCTGACATCAGACTTCTCTGAAGAAACACTAAGGGCAAGGAGAGTGTGAAGGGACATAGTCAACAGACTCCAAGACAACAGATGCCAACCAAGAATACTCTACCCTGCAAAGCTTTCCTTCCTCTATGAAGAAAAAATAAGGACCTTCACAGACATACAGAAACTCCGGAATTTCATTATGACTAAACCCCCACTCTAAAAAATACTACAAGGAGCCCTAAAGCCAGAACCAACAGAGGGATGAATAACAATGAAACAAGACCCCCCTCCAAAAAATTAATTAAATAAATAAAACCAGAGAAAATACAAACAAAATGGCAAATACAGACGCTAACATATCAACATTAACTCTAAATGTAATGAACTAAACTCTTCAATAAAAAGACACAGAATAGCAGGCTGGATTAAGAAACAAAACCCAACCTTTTGCTGTCTCCAGGAAACACATTTAACTACAAAAGATAAAAATAGACTAAAAGTAAAAGGATGGAAAACAATCCTACAAGCAAAGGACCAAAAAAGAAGGCAGGAACAGCTATACTTATCAGATAAAACAGATTTCAAACTCAAAAAGGTAAAGAGACCCCGATGGTCACTACATTATGATCAAGGGGACAATACTTCAAAAAGAAATAACACTCAATAACATATACTCACCAAATGAAGGAGCACCCAAATATATCAGACAACTATTATCATCTCTGAAAACAGACATCAGAGAAAACACATATGTAGTGGAAGACTTCAACACACCACTATCAACAATGGATAGATCAACAAGACAAAAAATAAGTAAGGACACTAAAGCTCTAGATAAGGATCTAGTGCTCATGGGCTTAACAGACATCTATAGAACACTAAACCCCCAAAAATCCGAGTACACATTTTTCTCAAGCACACATGGATCATTCTCCAGGATCAGTCACATACTGGGACACAAGACAAACATCAACAGATACACCAAGATTGAAATCATACCAACCATGTTCTCTGACCATGAAGACATCAAACTAGAAATAAACCATAAAAAGAAGTCAAGGAACTTTCCTACCTCACGGAGATTGAAACCCACACTACTGGAAGACCACTGGACTAATGAGGAGATCAAAGAAGAAATTAAAAAATACTATGAGTTGAATGACAAAGAGGACACCACTTCCCAGAATGTATGGGATGCAGCAAAAGCAGTAATAAGAGGAAAATATATAGCAATACAGGCTCACATCAACAAACAAGAACCCAAAGAAACAACCTCAATCTCAAAGCTCAAAGAACTAGAAAAAGAACAACAACAAAAAAACCCAAAAACCAGTAGAAGAAAAGAAATAATAAAAATCAAAGCTATAGAAATAAATGAAATCAAAACTAAAAAAACAATCCAAAAGATCAATGAAACCAAAAGTTGGTTCTTCAATGAAATAAATAAAATATACAAATCCCTAGCCAGGCTCACAAAGGAAAAGGGGAGAAAGGACAAATACATAGGATCACAAATGAAAGAGGAGAAATCACAACAGACACAGCAGAACAGTTACATGCAAACAAGCTCAACAATCTAGAAGAGATGGACAAATTCCTTCAACTCTACAATCACTCAAAGTTAGATAAAGAAGAAATAGAACACTTAAACAGACCAATTACAAGCAGCGAAATTGAAATGGTAATCAAAGCCCTCCCCAAAAACAAAAGCCCAGGACCAGATGGATTTACAAATGAATTCTACCAAACATTCAGAAATGAATTAGTGCCTATCCTTCACAAACTCTTCAAAAAATTGAGAAGGAAGGGATAATACCAAATACATTCTATGAAGCCAACATTACACTAATACCAAAACTGAACAAGAACAACACAAAAAAAGAAAACTACAGGCCAATCTCCTGAATGAACACTGATGCAAAAATCCTCAATGAAATTTTAGCTATCAGAATCTAACAATGTATCCATAAGATAATTCACCACAACTAAGTAGGATTTATTCCAGGGACACAGGATGGTTCAATATCCGAAAATCAATGTAATTCAACACATCAGCAAAAAGAAATATAAAAACCATATGATAATATCAATAGATGCTGAGAATGCTTTCAACAAAGCACAACACCCATTTATGATAAAGGCCCATGAAATCCTCAGGCTACAAGGAACATACCTCAACATCATAAAGGGCATATATGACAAGCCCATAGCCAATATCATTCTCAATGGTGAAAAGCTGAAAGTATTTCCATTAAGATCTGGAACAAGACAAGGATGTCCACTCTCACCACTGCTTTTCAATATAATACTGAAGTCCTAGCCAGAGCAATAAGACAAGAGAAAGACATACAAAGATCCAAATACGGAAGGAAGAAGTCATACTATCACTATTTGCAGATGATATAATATACATAAAGAACCCAAAAAAACTCCACAGAAAAACTAATTAAACTAATCAATCAGTTTAGTAAAGTGGCAGGATACAAAATCAACACACAAAAATCAGTAGCCTTCCTACACACAAACAATAAATCTGAAGAAGAAATCAAAAAAACCATCCCTTTCATTATTGAAAAATAAATCAAATACTTGGGAATAAACATAACAAAAGAGTTAAGGACCTATACAAAGAAAACTATAAAACACTGTTAAAAGAAATAGAAGAAGACACAAAGAAATGGAAAGACATCCCCTGCTCATGGATTGGAAGAATTAACATTATCAAAATGGCCATCCTACCAAAAGTAATTAACAGATTCAATGCTATTCCAACAAAAATATCGAAGATATTCTTCAAAGAAATAGAACAAACATTGATGAAATTCATATGGAGCCACCAAAAACCCCGAATAGCCAAAGCTCTCCTGAAAACAAAAAAAGAAGGGAATGGAGGCATCACACGCCCAGATTTCAAACTATACTACAAAGCCATACCCATCAAAACTGCATGGTATTGGAACAAGAACAGACACACGGACCAATGGAATTGAACAGAAAATCCAGACATAAACCCACAGATTTACGGTCAACTAATCTTTGACAAGGGAGCAAAGAATATGCATTGGAGCAAAGAAAGTTTGTTCAATACATGGTGCTGGGAAAATTGGGTCACTATATGCAAAAGAATGAAGCTTGACTACTATCTCACACAATTCACAAAAACCAACTCAAAATGGACTAGACGT